TACGGCGGGCTGGATTTGGCCCGCGGGCCTTAAGTTTGACACCTCTGTTGAGTTGGTTACCATTTATAGCTTCAACACCTTAGGAGATGTTTTCCTACAATGAGAGAAATTTTTCTTTTTTATAAAACTGCTCAATCTCAGTCAGGTCAGATGGAGAATTTATTGATTTATTTTTTGAATTTTGGACTTTGACTAGGCCACTTAAACCAGTTTAGAATGTTTATCCTGCTGATTATTTGAGTTGATTTCTGTCTCAGCCACAGCATGATGCTGCCACCTAGAGACAATAGGCAGTAGATGCAGTTAATTTCCCTCCAGTTGTGGGTGACTGGAAACCATTCCTCCCCATATTCATTGTTTCGTCATCCTGGTTTGTAGCAAACGGAGAACAGAGCTTCTTATGGTTTTCTTTCTGCTTGCATCAAAGAATATTTGTCAACAAATTTTGGACACTATTCACATAAAAAAGTGTGATTTGCATCAGTAAACTGCTCACAGTAACTACATTTAATCATATTTATCAATATTCTGAATAACTGCAGACAGTTTCAGGGGATTTTTAACATCATTAATTGAAATTTGTGGTAACAACGATAAATCAAAATTATCTAAAAAGAAATGTATCACAATAAGCGATAAGCTTTTTTATACATCTTATCCAGAGTTGCAGTGGTGTCGAAGTCCTTCGAAGGGCAGACGGACCGAACCGAGGAGTGGTACGGCACGCAGTACAAGCAGGAAGCCATCTCTGAAGAAAGCATCAAGGTGCACAGAGTCGGCCAAACTGAATCGGTTCCGGTTCTTCTGCCGCCTCAGGAATATCAGTATTATGTTTAAAGGATCCTGCTGGTCAGTGTTTCGTCCTGTTTTTTGTTTTAGAACTGGGCAAACGCAGACCTGAACGGGAAGTTCAAGTTGCCAATGAGAAACGAGTTCATCCCAACTAACTTTGAGATTTACCCTCTGGAGAAAGACTCTCCTTCGGTTCCGACTTTAATCAAGGTGAGGCGCCGTCATTCAGGTATTTTCCATATGCAAATTATCCATTAGTGAGTTAATCTAACGTCGACTGATGTACAAATGAACCAGTTTGTTCTTGAATCAGGAAGGCCGAACGTCTTTGCTACATTTTTTATACTATTCTGAATTTTAAAAAATAACTAAATGTTTAGATTATTTTGTGTCAGCTGTGTTAAATACTGACTGAATAAACAAACTGTTTTGATATAAATTATAGCAAAACAGGAAACTCTTAGGTTGGTGAATTATTGGTTAATCAATTTTAATCTAATAATTGATAATTAATCACAGTTTGTTGTGAACATTCACAGCCTGCATTGGATAAACTTTGGTCATTTTGACGTTCAAAGTTTTCATTGCAGATTTCTTTTATGCTTTTTTAAAATCATAGTTTGAGTTTTGAAGGTTTTATTTAATTTGACAGAATGATAATTGAGTAAAAATAAACTAATATGTGTTTTGTGTGTTGTTTTTTCAGGACACTGCAATGAGCAAGGTGTGGTTTAAACAAGACGACAAATTCTTCCTCCCAAAGGCCTGCCTGAACTTTGAGTTCTTCAGGTATGTTTGTAAAACTTTACAAGGATTTAAACTTTTAGAGCGACTTTGGCTTCTTATTCTGAAATCCAACTTTATGGTAATGTTGGCCATGTTCTTTTTTTTTATTTTTTTTATTCTCAAGTTATTCGCTAAATCGCAGCATCCTGATGTTGGGGAAAAGTAGGAATATCTTCCACTGGATTCAGTTTAGGGGAATCTGCTGATAATGGAGAAAACAAACTGTCGCTTATAGCAGGGGTGTCCAAAGTGTGGCTCAAGGGCCATTTGTGGCACTTAAACTGATTTTCTGCAATTTAAACATTATACAGATTTGGCCCATAGATGCAGATGGAGACTTTTAATTTATAATCAGTGAAAAAAAATATTTCTTACACAGAAAAATGTAAAGTACAACACAAAGTATTCCTCTTTTTATAAGCAACGTTATAAAACTGAGTTTATCCAGAGACTTTACTGAAAAGTTAACTTTGCTTCTGTTCTTTTTTAAACTCGGATACATATAATAAACCTTTGAGATAAAGTGACCCAAATCCTGTCCTTATTACTGAAAATAAATTTATTCACTCAAGCCCAAAAGGAATGGAAACTAAATGTCTTTCTTTTAATGCAGCAAACATGCCCAATTAAAGTAAGCAGTGAATTTATGTAAAAAAAAACTTGGAAATTTCTTAAATTAGAATGTCTTGTGAAAAGTCTTTTAGAAAATTGAGAGTTTTCTAATAAATATTTGAAATTAATTACAAATTTTACTCCTTTCATTTTATTTAAAGAGGCCCTAACGCACAGATTTAAGTTTTGGATCTGCAGTAAATACTTTATTGGCTTGATTGTAGGTTGTATTTTTGCGTCTATAACACGTAGCAAAAAGTTTGGACACCCCTGCTGCAGTGGAACTGTTTGCATGTAATGTTTGATCGCTGTAATTTTTTCTGCAGCCCGTTTGCATACGTGGACCCATTGCATTGTAACATGGCGTATTTGTACCTGGAGCTCCTCAAGGACTCCCTCAACGAGTATGCATATGCAGCCGAGCTAGCAGGCTTGAACTATGACCTCCAAAATACCGTCTATGGGATGTATGTAAGTATGCAGACCCCCCCCTCCAACCTCCCGTCGCATCCTAGACTCCATGTTTCCGCCGCCACTCCCTCACTCACCGTTAGACTGGTTCAACCTGTCCTGGGTTCACAGGTGATGATGATGATGATTTGACCTTTTTTATTTTGTTCCCGTGAGGAAAAACGGCGCAGCACCAGGACGACGCCCCCTGGTGTCATCATTTGAAACATTTTGTCTTCTTTAGCATAAAATTTTAAGACTTTCACTGCAAGAAAAAAAAAAATCTTGCCAAGTTTTTGGTGTCGTTTCTTCTGAAAATATCTTGTTACCCTTAAAATGGGACGAAACTAACTTCTAAATAACTTTTCAGCAACATGTAGAAGTTTGTTTTAAGTCAATAATCCCTTAATACTGGTGGAAAAGTTCCAGTTCCTTTCAGTCAACTGCCGCTGCGCCAGTTCTGGTTCCACTGGCAGGTCGTTTCACTTATAACATGAGGAAAAAAAGGTTGTCACAAGAGAAATAATCTGCACCAAGTACTTTTTCTGCGACTTTATGGAATTATTGACTTTAAACAAGCTGTTATTTCTTGCTGTAAGTTGGTTTTGTCGTATTTCAAGTGCACTAGAAACGTGGAGCAGAATTACTTGGTAAGGTTTTGCGTTTCCGCGGCGTCGGTTTAGGATTCCTGACGCCTGAAAGCGATTTATTCACTATTCCAGCCTTCCAACCCAGGCTTGGTCCGTCTCGCCTCTGTCTTCCTTCATCTGTGCTTTTGCATTGCTTCTCAACCACATCATTTTAAACACAATCTGATGAGACACGTTTTCCGTTTTGCGACACAAAGCTGGTCATCCGGCTGCATATACATACTCAGTTCCTTGGTTAAATCATTCTTCCCTTTTTCTTTTTTTTTTGTTTTGTTTCTTATATTTTTCCATTCATCCCAAAACAAAAAACTTTATTTTTTTACTTTTTCCCTTTTTGTTTTTTCTCCTCTTCCATTAGTCGCTACCTTTATACAGATCCTGTGCACTGCAACATGACCTACTTGTTTCTGAGGTTACTGAAGGATAATTTAAGAGAGTATGCATATCCAGCCCGCCTGGCCGGGCTTGTCTATGACACAGCCTCAGTGATGAATGCCCTCACCGTAAGTAAGCTGTTTGGAGTGTGTGGGCTGGTTCAAAGGTCGCCTCCAAGGGGTTTAACAAAACGCAAATTGCTTGGTTTTCTACGCAGGTTTTGATCGACATGTTCCTCAGTCTGCTCATGATTTCCAGCTGAACTTGGTATTTACAGACATCAGAGAGGTTTCCGCCGTTTTGGGGTCAGTTGGGATTACCCGGAATATCATTGGCCCAGAATAATGAACAATAATAATAAACTTTTTGGGAAGGCTGAGCTGATGTCATGGCTTTGTAAGAATCTCATTTGAGTTAAATTAAAGCAACATTTGATTTTTTTGTGTGTTTTAAATTGACCAATATAAATCCATGGATGAGTTTCTATAGATTTTCCTGGGAAATCATTTTTTTAATCCAGGAAATGATCCAGAGTTTCCCTACTAGCAGTGACTGTAATCCAGCTCAGAGAGGAAGAAACCATTGCTGCAAAAGCAACATCAGGGTTTCTGTGCATCCTTAAATTCCTGTTTCTAAAATTGAGGCCCTTAAATTCATTAGAAAATATCAAAATGGCCTTAAATACGTTAAATAAAGTCTTGAATACGACTATTTATTGTTGAATGTCCCATAGTTTATTTTTCTTGGACTTTTTTGCAGGCAAAAGTTTTGAGTTTCATACAGACGTCTTTCGTTCTAATTTCAGACAGCTGAGGCTAGTGCTAACTAGCTGCTAACCAGCTGCTAGCTTTTTTGCATTTATCATTGGTAAGAGTGTAAATTGTCGTCTTCACCACTGACTCGCTTCTGATGCTAAGAAAATCTTATATGACATTTTGTTTTCTAAATTTCTTAAATTTGGTGAAACCTGCAAAAACCTTAAGCATAAAAACCTGAATTGGTTTTTAAATGTACACATTGAAAACGAGACCTTCATTTCTACAGATGCATTCTTTGGTCTGAACTGAACTCCAGCCCCGCTGTGAAGCACGGTGGAGGTGGCATCATGATGTGGCGTTTTGTTACAGAACGGACTGGTGCACTTCACCAGATGGGAAATATAGAGACATCAGCCTGGCAATGCTACTAAATATTAACATAATGTTTGTAAACGAGTGAATTTGTTGAAGAAAAGAGGAAATTCTCTAAATTTTTAGGTAAATATTTCTGACCCAGAACGGTGGAAATGATGGAGGGGAAAAAGCTAAAATTTCTTTTAATACGGTGTATGTAAATATCTGGTTTCAGCTGTAAATTACTTGTTTTTCAAAAACTAGTTTTTGATGTAAAATGTAGACAAGCATGGGATGACAGAGGAGAGGAAACATCCGACCTGCTGAGATCCGAAATAATTCAGAACAAGAAAAACAAATAAACTGCTAATGAGGAGAATGACTTAATGATGCAGCGAAACAGAAACATGGAAGCAAGATTATATTTAACACGCTGAGAATGTTAAATAATTAGTTCCTGCAGAGAAAAAAAAAGTGAAAATTAAAGTCGATAATAAACATTTCTTCCTGTTGAGACTTTTAGAAACGGATTGAAACTATTTGAATTTAATGATTATTGTAAGTTTAAAATTTTTGCCTTTTTCTGATCTGATTTTGTTTTGCAAAAACATCAAACTGTAAAATTAGAGAGAAATTTAATCAAAGCAGAGCTTTTTTCATCTGTTTAAAGGATTTAAAGTCTTAACTTCCTCTAACATGCCGACATCTTGACTTATGTTTCACTTTTTTGAGAAACGTATGTGACGTAAAAATATAAGGAACTGCCACAATAAAAGGTGAATTATTTTGGTAAAAATAAACGTTCTTTCAACTGGTTCAGAAAGTGCGATTATTAATTTTAAGTCCATAATAATCTTAGGATAAGTCTCCGTTCTGCTGGGATTGGGATTTTTGGTGATGGATTATTATGTTTGTAGGCACTTTGCATGCGTGTTTGTGTTTTTATTTTTCTGCTCTCCACTTCCCTGCTTTCCTCACTAACGTTCTGCTACACCTTAACGAGCGTCCATCGGCTTCCTGTGAATTTATGACCGCTGTCCCGCCCACCGACTGGCGGTCAGATTATTTATAATCGCTTTGCGTCAGCAGAGTCGCGATGCGTTACCTTTACCAGGTGTCACCACAGGGGGCGCTGTGGCAGCAGGTTGTCATGAAGAAAATTCACAACCTCAGCCAGATTTTAGTTTTAAATCTGATTCATCGTTGGTTTTAGATTATGTCTCAGTTGCAACAGAAATATTGATCCTGATAAAATCAATATGTTTAATTAATGTTTAAAGTACATTAATCAATCTGCATAAAGGAAACTAAACAAAAAAGCAGTGAATGCGTAGGAAAGGTAAAAGAGATGTTTGATTCAGAAATGCATTTAGACTAAAGTGTTGAGGTTTTACAGTGTCAGATTAAATTTGTGTTTTGATTATTTAGAGAAAGAAAAGTAAGTCGGATTTCATCCATTCATTTGTCCGTCTATTTCTTCCCTCCTTTTCTTTGCTTCCTTTTCTCATTCTTTCACTTTTTCCTTCTTTTCTCCACACTTCCTTTCTTTATTTATTTCCTTCCTGTCTTTTCCTTTTTTTCTTCATTCTTTCTATCCATTTTTCTTTCCTTTCCTCACTTCTTTGCTTCCATTCTCCATCATTTTTCCTTCATTTATTTCTTAATATTTTTATTTGTTCCTTTCTATCCTTCCATTTTTGCTTTCTTTTCTTTCTGCCCTTTCTCCTTTTTCCCTTCCTGTTTGTCTTCCCCCTTTTCCTTCTGCTTCTTTTTTTCTTCCTTTGTTCTTTTTTTATCATTTTGTTTTTATCTTTCCTTTTTTCCTATTTCTTCTTTTCTTCCTCACAAATTCCTCTCATTTCTCCTTGACTAGAAGTTTAGAAAGTTTGTTTTTTCTATAAATTTGGGCTGAAAACCGAACCCCTCGTCTCGTCCTCTGGTCGATCCTCCTCCGTCGTTCGGGACACATCGGTCATAAATTCACTCTCGGGTTTGAGCCAATGTGAAAACCTTCAAGCTTTCTTGCTTTTTAAACTGAGAGATTGTCTTTCTGGACTTCCTGTTTCCTGCTGCCGTTTGCTGCAGCTTTCGGTCAAAGGTTACAACGACAAGCAGCACATCCTGCTGAAGAAGATCATCGAGAAGATGGCGACCTTCGAGATCGACGAGAAGCGCTTCGACATCATCAAAGAGGCAGTAAGTCCAGACTTCCTGCTGCGGTTTATAAGACTTTTTTTGCCTCCATTTTGTGTGATTTCTTCCCCCGCCTCTTTCCAGTACATGAGATCTTTGAACAACTTCCGAGCCGAGCAGCCTCACCAGCACGCCATGTACTACCTCCGCCTGCTGATGACCGAGGTCGGGTGGACCAAAGACGAGCTCAGAGAGTCGCTCGATGGTGGGTCACTTCCTGTATTTCTGCTTACTCTCCTTTAAAGGGACAGCGTCATGTAAAATCGAGCTTTACATCGTAACGTTATTCTCTCATCGAAAACATACCTGGAGTGTTGCTTTGATCCTTTCATGCATAATTGAGAAATCATTTAATCTCCATGGCAACCATTCAGCTGAGAAAAACGCCTGGGTGAATGTAACTCCGCCTCCTGAGTGGTGTAAACTTCTCCCCCACTCAGCTCCTTCAGACTAGCCAGCAGCAATTAGCAAACAGCTGGTGGAACTGCTGAGCTCATCATACGAGCTACTACTTTGTGTTTTTTTTTTGTTTCAAGTAAAAACATAGTTAAAGGTTTAGTAGAGGAGCCATGTTATGATGACTTCCTGAAGGCGGAGTTTCAGAAAGAGCAGGAGCTTCTTAAAGAGACAGAGGCCCAATTTCAAGCCGCTAAATTATTTGATTGTTTTCTAAAATATATAACACTGTTCTTTTACAAACAATGGGTTTTTTTTAATTTCAGGATTTGTACGGACGCATAAAACCCTTAAACTCTTGGATTTCAGTTAGGTGTTTGGAAAGTGCTTGTTTTCTGTGTTTGATTTTCAAATGCGCCGTTTTGTAAGAAAGTTCAATCTAACTTTTGTTTGAAAGCCTAAAGTTGAGAAACATTATTTACAGTTGGAACCTGATATTATCATACACCTAATAAAAGAAACACATTTTGGCTTCCTGTCTGAAGTTAAATTAGATTAGACTTCTTTTTTTCAAGTTAAAATATGCAAAATTATTATTATTATTTTAATTAGTGAGGGATTTTTGTGACTTATTGATTTATTGTGTGAAAGTATTTAAGATGTTTTTTTTAGCTTAACATGTAATGAATACTTATTATTCCTAATGGATCAATGACTTATCGATCTGTGAAACTGTTGGTTTATATTTTAAACAAAGTTATTGATATTTTTGTATTTTTTTTATTTGTGTTTTGTTCTTAGACCAAAACATAAAATTTTATTTCATTCCTGCTGTAGAAAACTAGAAAATATCACAAAACATTTCTGGTAACGGTAATAAATTGTATCATATAATAGTGAAGTTATTTATAGTTTGTTGTTTTTTATTTCCAAAGTGGTGCTGGAAAAGCTCCGCCTTTGCTCTGTGATCGATTACTGATGTCTGTGATCGATTACTGATGTCTGTGATCGATTACTGATGTCTGTGATCGATCACTGATGTCTGTGATCGATCACTGATGTCTGTGATCGATCACTGATGTCTGTGATCGATCACTGATGTCTGTGATGGATCACTGATGTCTGTGATCGATCACTGATGTCTGTGTCGGTGTTGCAGACGTAACTCTCCCCCGCCTCAGGGCGTTCATACCTCAGCTGTTGTCACGATTACACATCGAGGCTCTGCTCCATGGCAACATCACCAAGGAGGTTTGTTCAGTTTTAAAACTATTTATTTTTTCCTAATTAATCAATAATAACTCATTATAGTAACAGTGTGTGCTTTCTGTTGTTATTGTATTCTTATTATAGTAGTTTTTGATTTTATATCTTGAACAATCAAAAGGAAAGTTAAAAAAACTTTATTAGTGTTTAATTGGATCTAAATATTAATGATAAAAATACAAAAATAAAGAAAATACTGTGAATAATAATATTAATAATACTGATAATGGAAATAAAAAACTACTATGACATACTACTACTAATAGTGATAACAAAAAATTAAAATAATAAAAAATAAAATAATAATGGAAACAAAATACTAATAAAAGAAATATAATGAGGAAATAAAATAATGAAAACAATGGAAACATTATGATGATAAATAATGTAAATTTATGATTAAAATAATGAGGATAATCATGAAAATATTGTTACTATTATTACTCTCAGTAGTAAATGGTTTTATTTGTATTTTTTGTTCTTTTTTTTTTGCACTGTCCCATAAACCCTTAACCTGTGATATCTTCCTACTTGAAGCTTTTTACCTGAGAAAACCATAAATGGTTATAAATAATCTAGAAAAGTCACAAATCAAGAATAATGGCATTAAAGGACGGATCAATAACCGGCGCTCGGTGATTTACAGAATATTTTTCCTCCGTTTCTGTTTTTCCCAGTCTGCTCTCGGCATGATGCAGATGGTGGAGGACACGCTCATTGAGCACGCTCACACCAAGCCCCTCCTCCCGAGCCAGCTGATTCGCTACAGGGAGGTGCAGGTCCCGGACGGTAGGTGGACCTCCGCTCACCGCCGCTGCGCTGATGACGCCGCGGCGTGTTTGAAGATCTGATTAAACAGAGGAAGTAAACCGGGTTGGATCCTTATTGAATCAGAAAGATTCAACCAGAGGCAGAAATTAGAGAAACATCACAACCACAAACCTCCGTGAATTTGATCAGTTCAGTTTTTAGCTTAGTAGATTGATCAGTTATCAAAATCCTTGTAATTTGGGGTTTACAAATTTTAAAAAGTTCAATGTTAAGTATTTTTGAAGTACATTGAATTATGCGCTGGTAACCAAGTAAGTTTTTGAGGAAATGTTTGGGTCTGATATTCAATGCAGAGCTGTAAATATGAGCTTTATCACATGTTTATAATATTTGTCTCAAAGTGAAACGTGGTTTCTCTCAGGTGGCTGGTATGTTTACCAGCAGAGAAACGAAGTTCACAACCACTGCGGCATCGAGATTTACTACCAGACGGACATGCAGACCACCAACGACAACATGCTGCTGGAGCTGTTCTGCCAGATCATCTCTGAGCCCTGCTTCAACACGCTGAGAACCAAAGAGCAGCTGGGTCAGTTCCCGACACGTCCAGCACAGCATCAGGCACACCAGAAAAGTTCATTTATTTAACACCTAATACTCTGTTTTCATTCATGTGAGATTTATGCAGCACTGTGGGAATGAGAAAAAATATACTTTCTGTAATAATAGTCGTGCTGAAACGATTAATCAAATTAATTGTGATTAATCAATTATTAAAATAATTGTCAACTAATTTAATAATCGATTATTCGTACAAACCTGAAAAATGCATTTTGCTGAAAGAACAACTCGCTCAGCACCACTAAATTTTAGCCAAAACTGTAGAAATAAATTTGACAATTAAGCTAAAAAAACCAAATAAGTAAAACTGGTAAACATTTTAAATCTCCACAATAGAGCAGAAACGACAAATAAAAGAAAACATGAAGTTTCTCTAAACAAAATTGTTCTAATTAAAACCAAAACACCAAATTGAAGATTTTTGTCTTCCAGATTTTTTTTGTTTTTTTTTGTAGGAAGGGAAAAACACTGTAAAAACACAAAATCTTAGAGTTATTATCTTAGTCAACTTGAAATCAGTCAAAGCTGATTTTTAAGTAACTTTTCAGCAATAAACATTCACAAATGGAAATTATTGAAGCTCATTTGAAGTCATAATCCGATTATTAATTGATTTCCTGTTTGCGCTCCTCCCTCTAAGGCTACATCGTGTTCAGCGGGCCCCGCCGAGCCAACGGCGTGCAGGGCCTGCGCTTCATCATCCAGTCGGAGAAGGCCCCCCACTACCTGGAGAGCCGGGTGGAGGCGTTCCTGCGCACCATGGAGAAGGCGCTGGAGGACATGAGCGAGGAGGCCTTCCAGAAGCACATCCAGGCCCTGGCCATCCGCCGCCTGGACAAACCCAAGAAGCTGTCCGCCGAGTGCGCCAAGTACTGGGGGGAGATCATCTCCCAGCAGTACAACTTCGACAGAGGTAACGCAGGCTGCGTCAGGGCTGTCCAAGCTGCGGCTCGGGGGCCATTTGTGGCCCGACGACTAATTTTCTGCAGTTAAAAATCTGATACAAATTTGGCCAATAGATGCAGACGGGGACTTTTAATTTGTAATTTGTGCAACACAAAGTATTCGACTTTTTATTACGAAGTTTTAACAAAAGTAAAAACCGAGTTTTACTGACAAGCTGCACCCAATTCAGCTCTTTTTCCTTCTGAAATGATTTAGAGCAAATGTTTTGATCAAAGGGACACAAATCTTGTTGTTACTGGAAATTGATTCATTCAATCGAGCTCAAAATAAATCCAAACCTAATGCAAAATTTAAATTGTAGTAGGAAAATAAAAGCAAAAAAAATTGCTAAAAAATTTTTTTTGATTAGTTTTAATCTCTACAAGAAATGTGGAAATTTCTGAATTTCAAATGTATAAAATTTCTTTTGAACATTTTTCTTGAAAATGTTTTCTGGGAAGAGTGAGGGGAAAAAATTAATTTTCATACTAATACATTTTTCATGAAAAAACTGTGGAAATTTCAAATGTCAAATTCTTTAAAAAAAAATTTCTCATCAAAATGTCAGTATTTTTGGTGAAAATTTACTAGTTTTCTATCTACAAAGTGCAGAATTAGGCTGAATACAAAATGAACGACGCACATCTCAGATTCTTTCTTCAGTTTAAACATGAAAAACATTTTTTGTCCCGTTTTTTCACTTGGATTGCAAGTTGAGCACCTTTCACATAAAACCAATAAAAAAACATCAAAGTTTTTATTTTTAACATGTTTTAACTCTGAGTTTTCATGACTTCCTGACTTGGAGATACGATTTTTCTGCAGGTTTGATGCTTTATGCAGTTCTAAATGCTTCAAGCTAATTGTGTTTAAACTTCTGTTTGCCTTTCAGACAACATTGAAGTTTCACATCTGAAGACGTTGACTAAAGAAAACATAATGCAGTTTTACAGCGTGAGTAACACCACAGGTTTGAATTAAAATCAGTTTTAAATCGGACAGAAAAATAAATTCTTCAAGCATTTTTACACTTTTATATTTACTCTAGTTTAGGTCTTTCTTTACTGTTAGTAACATATTAAAAATAATGTGTATCTATATAAGGCATAGCTGTTTATCGCACGGATTTTGTTCTTGCCATTGAGCTGGCTTCTCAGGACTTGCCTTATTCGTTGGAGGTATTTAGCTGTGGCTCCTTTCCTTGTGGCCTCATCGAGGTTGCCATTTGCTTGTGGTATACCTAGGTACTTGTAACTGTCCTCTATGTCTGCTATTGTTCCTTGTGGGAGTGAGACTCCTTCTGTGTGGATGACCTTCCCCCTCTTTGTGACCAGCCGACCACATTTCTCTAGTCCGAATGACATCCCAATGTCAGTGCTGTAGATCCTGGTGGTGTGGATCAGTGAGTCGATGTCTCGCTCACTCTTGGCATACAGCTTGATGTCATCCATGTAGAGGAGGTGACTGATGTTGGCCCCATTTTTGAGTCGGTATCCGTAGCCAGTCTTGTTGATAATTGGCTGAGGGGGTTCAGGCCTATGCAGAACAGTAGCGGGGACAGAGCATCTCCTTGGTATATGCCACATTGATGGACACTTGTGCAAGTGGTTTGCAGTTGGCTTCAAGGGTGGTTTTCCACAGGTTCAGCGAGTTTGATGTTATACATCTCTAGGCATTCAATGATCCAAGTATGCGGCATTGAGTCATAGGCTTTCTTGTAATCAATCCAAGCCATGCACAGGTTGGTGTGTCGGGTTTTGCAGTCTCGGGCAACTGTGCGGTCTACGAGGAGTTGGTGTTTGGCTCCTCTGGTATTTACACCGACCCTTCTGTGCTGTGCTCATGTGTTTATCCATGTGTTTGCTTATCTTGGCCGCTATGATGCCTGACATGAGCTTCCAGGTTGTGGAGAGGCAGGTTATTGGTCGGTAGTTGGGTGGGACTGGACCCTTTGATGGATCCTTCTGGATTAGGATTGTTCGCCCTTCAGTTAACCATTCAGGGTGAGTCCCACTTTGCAGCAGCTGGTTTCTTTGGCCTGCCAGTCGCTCATGGAGGGCAGTGAGTTTCTTTAGCCAGTAGGCATGGATCATGTCAGGCCCTGGTGCTGTCCAGTTCTTCATACCTGAGACTCTTTCTTGGACACAGTGATGGTAACCGGGGCTTGCTTATATATTGCTTATATATACTCAGGGTCGATGCTGACGTGTCTCTGTCTGCAGGAGCGTCTCACGGTGGAAGCTGCAAAGAGACACAAAGTGTCCGTTCACGTTCTGTCCAGAGAGATGGACTCCTGTGAGTCTCTGAACAATTTCCTGGTTTGCTTCCCGTTTCCTGTCGGCTTCGGTCGCCTTGACGTTTCGTTTTTGTTCAACAGGTCCGATAGTCGGAGAGTTTCCTGCCCAGAACGACGTCAACCTGGCCCCGCTCCGTCCCTGCCACAGGTAAACGACACGTCTGGTTTTATTTTTCCACTGAAATCAAAACAAACTCATTTTTTCTGGATCCAGGCTAATTAGAATTGACAAAATTATTTCTATTTGCTAAATAACCAGAAAACATTTTTTAAAAAATTTTGCGTGTAACTTTCTATGTTAAGCAACTTTCAGTCTGTTTATCTGGAAAGTCTGTTTCGTTTGGGGAGGTCTGAAAGCAGAAAGTGAACTATGACGCAAGGCATTCTGGGTAAATGCAACCAAAGCTGTAGAAATGAATCGTATTTTTCGAACAGCAAGAGAAATCCTCCAACCGCTAAAATCTGACGCTGCTGCATTTTTGTTTGCATTTTCTGAAGAAGAAAGTTGCGCTCTGTATCTTCTTCAGAGGTTTTCATGTCGTTTCCTTCGGTGGTTTTTGGTGCAGCGCCACCACAGGTGAGGAGGGGAACAGGTTTTTCTAAAACTGCAACAAACTTTGCAACTTTCATCCCCAGTTGAATAAAATCTACCAGACTAACAGCCGTGAAAACAACCTTCAGCTATTTCTTTTCTGTTCCCACATCAAACTTTTTGTTGTTTTTCTTTTCAGCCGACGTTGATTCAGGACATGACGGAGTTCAAGAGGAGCCTGCCGCTGTTCCCGCTGGTGAAGCCTCACATCAACTTCATGGCTGCCAAACTGTGAGCGAGGGCGGAGAAGCTTCGCCTGCCTGAGGTTCCCCTGACCGTGTGTGTGTGTGGAATGTGTGTGCAGGCGACGCGCCGTTGCACCAGAAGCAGAAGAAGAGATGCTCAGTAAGCGAAGATCCCCCAAAGTTAGCTGTGGTTGTTTTTTAAACTAGCTGTGACTACCATAGCGGTCTCACCTCACTCTCACGCTGCAGCGCTGCGTAGGCGAAGTAGAACATGTTCACCAGAAAACTTTATGCAGGAGCTTCACTTCACCTCTAGGGGGCACAGCCCAATCCAAGTCAGTAGCTCTACCCAGGCGCTCCGACGTTTTATTCAGATGTATGCATTTTACGAAGCCTTATTCTGTCGTTCTTAAAGCTTGCTTGGTGGGGGGGTTTTATGTGTTGGCGCCCTCTGAGGAGGCCTGAGGGAAGTCGGCACTGCGGCCTCAAATCTTTGTGCTGCTATCATTTTAAAGATATTGGTAAATATTTGCAGGTCAACGAGCCTCGACACACATTTACAAACTCTCTTTTCAATTGTAAGTTATAAAATGTGGACATCAGAGATCAGCTTTCTACACTTTAACAAAAATTATGTCAAATCTAATTTCTGTGTTTCTGCTACTAGAACTTTTTGTGCTGCTTTCATTTTAAAGATATTAATGTTTCCAGGGGTCAAAGGTTAATGAACCCCACCACATTTACAAAAGAACTAAATCTCTTTTCAGTTGTAATTTATATAATCTGTAAAAAAAATTAACTCAACTGGCTCCTCTATTCACATCAGAATCAAACAAAAATTCAAATAATTTTATTTTTGAAGATGTTGTTTCCAGAGGTCAAGGGTCAACCCACATTTACAAAATTAAATGAAATGTCTGAATCAACTGTGCGACATTGATGCAGCAAAAATGTTCAAAGATTTGTGGAGGTATAATTTTTAAGTTTCAGATCAACTTGCTCTTCCTCCCATTTTTACAACTCAAACAAAATTTATGTAATTTCAATGTTTGTGCTGCAAAAAGTTTTATTTGTGCCGTTAGTTTTTAAAATTTAAAATACCAAAAAAAGTATCAAAAATGCATCCTCCAAAACTTTTTTACAACATTTCTTCTGTTTTGTGTAGTAAGGATTTTAAAGCTGTTAATGATTCAGAGGTCAAAGGTTAGCCACTAAATTTTAGTTTTTATTATTTGTGCTGCAGGAATTGTGCTGCTATAATTAAGATTAAAAAAAAGCTTCCAGTGTATGTCCACCACTCCCCACATTTACACAATATCAATTAATTGTGCTGCAAAATGTTTAATTTGTGCTGCTTCAATTCTGAGGATTGTAAAATGGGTTTCCAGAGACCAACCTGCCCAGCACTCCACATTAACAAAACTCAAAATTGATAAATTGTTTTGTTTTTGTTTGTTTGTGCAGCTTTTTGCAGCACACTCCTTGACAGGCACAAAATTAGATCCTTTGTAAATGTTGTGGCGCTTTTTGACCTCTGGAAACATATTTAAAGTGACAGCAGCACAAACTTCATTTGATTTTGTAAATGCGAGGAAAGGTGAGTTGGTTGACCTTTAACCTCTGGAAACGTCATCTTTTAAAATGACAGCAGCACAAACTTTGTGCTGCCAAAACGTTTTTGACTCGAGTTTCATCTGATTTTCTTTCCTTTTTCACGGTCGGCCGACTTCTCTCGGGTTTTGCGGAGACGTTTTTAGCCTCTCAATTATGCGTCGTCTTTAGGGTTTTATGATTGAAACACCTCAGGGGTAAATCCATGCTGTCTCTTTTTTTTTTTTTAATAAAACACGTCAAACCCCGAGACGTTTCCATGGCGATCCCCATACTGTGGATCCGTTTGTGTGCGCCTTTACGTCGGTCACGTTTCTTTCCAAACGCGTCACTTTGATGTCAAACGGAGCTGAAAGTAAACGGCTCTGGTTTTAAGAAGTATTTCCTGAAAAATATGCACTTCTCTCACCAAGCAATAAACGTGATTGTTGAAGGTGAGAGCGGAGTCTCTCTCTCTCTCTCTCTCTCTCTCAGGTGCTTGCTGCACTTTGTCCCGACTTTTTATTTTACTGGTTTCAGTCAGCGCCTCGTCCAGGATTACATGAGCTTTGAATGTGTTTGTTCTGCATCAGATCTTCTTTGACATTTTGCTTCGTTTGGGATTTTGTTCCTTCGTGGTTGAACCCAAAGATGGCGGCAGCAGCAGATTTCAGCGCAGCAGAGGAAAATATTAATGACATTACATATCAGGCTTGGGCAGTAGGGGCACATACGTTGTGAAGTACTTAGAGAGTGGTTTCTATTTAGATGTTTTTGAATGTCGATGCTCGGCTGTAATTGGCTGGTTGGGTTTCCGGGCGAATAATTTTAGGTTTGAAGTTTTTATGTTTTTTTTTTCTTCTGTGTTTCTAAATAATTAATAAACAAGTGAATGGCAAAAACCACTGCACTCAATTTCCTCATTTGCAAAAACATTTATTCACAGAGATGATGCTCCACAGGTCAAAGTTCACAACATTTTTTATTTTTGGCAGAGACTTCATGATGAATGTAGTGAGACGCTGTAGATCGCAGGCAGAGTTTGAGCTTTTAGCAGATATAATTATTTCAAAACCGGAAACTAATGGACCTGAAATAGTTCAAGTTTTTGTGGAATAAATGTTTTCCAGGTTGTCATAAAAGCTGGTCACTGTCGGGTGTAGCATCTGACGTCTTCCTTCCACTTAACTTTACACTAATTTGGGATATCAGAATAGAAACAGCCAACTGCTTTAACAATTACTTTTTGTGTTTATATTCAGGTTGTCAGTTTTCTTTATTAAAATCCAATTTTTTAAAACTTTAGAATTACAGAAAATAAGTTTTCATTTCAGACACACATGAAACTTTAGCAAAAAACAATTTCATAGTTTTTTCTGAAGACACATTAAAAACAGATTTAAGATAATTTTTTATTTAAATAAAAATAATCTTGCTTAATGGTTATTTTTCCTACTAAAGACATTAAAGGCCAGAGTCCAGCTTTCACCCTCAGTTAATTTGCATTTATAACTCTTGAAGTTTTTCACATTTTATCACATTTCAACCAAAAACTTTAATGTATTTTATTGCGACAGATTGTGGAAGGAAAATGATGCGAAGTTTTTGGGGAAGCGAATAAAAAAACGAGACCCAAAATTAAACTTTTGTAATCTTTTACTTTTTTATTCTGAACACCATAATTCTCAGATTGAAACACGGTGGTGGCAGAAATACTGTGGGATGGAAGAGTTGAACAGGGGAAATGGAAGAAGCCAGAGCTACAGTAGATTTACATCAGGGGTGGCCAAAGTGTGGGGCGTGGGCCATTTGTGGCCCTTGAAATGATTAATTGGCCACAATTTAAGAATGGTAAAAAATTTGGCCAATAAAATATAAAACATTTAATTTTGATTTTAATGATGGCAATCTGAAGGTTATTTTTTATGTTCAGGATCTTTAATGTTGCAGAGATTTTATTAAAAGCATTTTTTTGTTAAGTAGGTAAAACTAGAAAAACTGAAATTTGTGGCACACAATTTGGCAAAGTTTATATCAAAGCATGGCCTAGTTAAAGTCCAGAACTAAACCCGATTTAGTTTTTTTAATGCATCATTTTCAGCTTGTCCAATAAAACATATTGAAGTTTGTGGGAAAAGCTAAGCGTTTGTGAAGACGTCGACCAACCCATCCCTGAACTAGAACAGAACCGCTCCATGTCCCACTGGATTCAGCCCCTGTGGACCGGACCGAACCGAACCGGACCGGAGCGCCGTGACGGGTGCCAACACTTTTACAGACTTCAGACGTAATCAAAGCTGCAGGCTGAATAAATAAACACTGGAACATCTGAAGCTAGAATATAGATTTCTATGTTTGTGTTTTTCTTCCTGCTTGCTTCCAAACATGATAAATTATTGATTAATTGATCATCTGATTGGACCCCGGCGAGGGCGGGAGGGACGTTTAACCAAAACAAATGTTTCATTAAAAAAAAAAAAGTTCTTCTTCACGCATGCCCTGCGTCTTTATTTCAGATAGCAGTGGGTGTGTTAGCCGTGTGGTGTTAGCGTAGCCACACACTGACTGCAAGCAGGCTCCAGTTCGCTTCCCGTGCCGTCGCTCCCGGGGCGGGAAGCGGCGACACAGTCGGTCTCCGTAGCAACTGCTGGGAGGGGGCGGGGCTTGTTGCAGTAAGGGTGAAGCTGAGTGTTGGGCGGGGTTCATCCTCACCGACAGCAGAGCGCCACCTCAAGCCTCTTCCGGCTCTGGGAAGTTGAGGATCTTGCGGTGGGCTTGGCGCAGGTATTGCTGCTGCTTGAAGTAGACCTTGAACACCCCTTTGATGGCCACGAAGGCGATGCCGCCCTGGGGGAGAGCCAGAAAGCAGGCAGGCTTTAAAGACGGCACTCGACATGTCTTCAGTCAGAGGCTTCTTCAAAGCTGCTGTGTCACGGACTGCTACAGGAGGACCTTCCTGCCCACAGCATCAACAACAACTCTGGAGAATCCTGAATAATTTGACTAACAAAAAGAGATTTGACTTCCCAGAAGGATATCAAACATATTTTTGAATTTGGAAAACTTAAAATTTAACGTTACGATTGCAACTAATGTTAGAGAATGTAAAGGAGACAAGGAAGGAATGAACGAGGCTTCAGAGTTAGCATCAGTAGCCCCATTAGCACCATGTCTGCTGTTAGCATCAGCGGCCCCGTTAGCCGCTGGTGCTAATGGGGCCATCAGACATGATGCTAACAGCGGCACTGTTAGCACCATGTCTGCTGTTAGCATCAGCGGCCCCGTTAGCATCATTTGTGCTGTTAGCATCAGCGGCCCCGTTAGCATCATGTGTGCTGTTAGCACCAGTGGCCCTGTTAGAGTCATGTGTGCTGTTAGCACCAGCGGCCCCATTAGTATCAGCGGCCCCGTTAGCATCATGTGTGCTGTTAGCATCGGCGGCCCCGTTAGAATCATGTGTGCTGTTAGCACCAGTGGCCCTGTTAGAATCATGTGTGCTGTTAGCACCAGCGGCCTCATTAGTATCAGCGGCCCCGTTAGCATCATGTGTGCTGTTAGCATCGGCGGCCCCGTTAGCATCATGTGTGCTGTCAGCATCAACGGCCCCGTTAGCATCATGTGTGCCGTTGGCATCATGTGTGCTGTTAGCATCAGCGGCCCCGTTAGCATCATGTGTGCTGTTAGCACCAGCGGCCCCGTTAGCATCATGTGTGCTGTTAGCATCGGCGGCCCCGTTAGCATCATGTGTGCTGTTAGCATCGGCGGCCCCGTTAGCATCATGTGTGCCGTTAGCATCATGTGTGCTGTTAGCATCAGCGGCCCCGTTAGCATCAGCGGCCCCGTTAGCACCAGCGGCCCCGTTAGCATCAGCGGCCCCGTTAGCATCAGCGGCCCCGTTAGCATCAGCGGCCCCGTTAGCACCCACCAGGATGGTCCTCTGCAGGTTGGAGTTGACGCTGCTGAACATGAGTTTCCCCACGATGGTGGCGATGGTGGGGAAAACCAGAGCGCCGCACAGGATCCGCGTGGCGGAGACGTGGTCGGCCAGAGGGCTGGCCTCGGCCGGGATCCGCGGCACCGGACAGCCGATGCCTGCGGTTCCGACATTTGAGCCGTCAGCGGATAAAAAACAACAACATGGAGGATGTCTGACGTCAGAAACCGAACGACCGACCTGGGAAGATGCTGTTGAAGATCTGCAGCTTGTTGGAGTACTTCCTCCACAGCCGCAGGACGTAGTCCTCCCAGCGGATCATCTTCCCCAGGATCAGCATGACGGGGATGGTGGGCAGGCCGATGAGCAGGAAGAGCGGGTCGGCCCGCTCCATCACGTCCAGGCCCTCCTTGTGGCCCACCACCTGCACATCAAAAAACATTGGAATCATCAAAACAATACAGCTTTACTGAGAAATACCTTGTTTTTAAAGCCGAGGCTTGGCAGTAGCACAGGGAGCCCAAAACAAACAAACAAAGCTTTTCTTTTTTGTTGCTGTTTACGATATGATGGCAAACATCAGACGACGTACCTGCATGACGGTGACGGCGCCGTACGTGACGGCGGTCCAGTAGATGGAGCCCACCATGATACCGGCTGCAGCGAAGGGGCCGGCTTTGGAGATGAGCCGGTCGGCCAGATCCAGAACATAAACGATCGGACCTGATGGAGACAGGAAACAGTTGCCTGGTTACAGGAAATTAGCTTTTTACTTCCGCCCAGAATCATCGGAAACGAGAACCTCCCATTTTTATCAAAGAATCTTCAGTCAGAGGATTCTCCAAACAAACTGACACAGACAGCTGCAGGAAATCTGTGATCAGATGGATCTTCTCCACCTCGGTTCACACAAATCGGCTTTTATTTATTAAACTTAATTAAATGTAGCAAACGAAAGAAAGTGATATAAATCCTGTTCTTATTACCGAAGCTAAATTTCACCTATGAAAACTGAAAACCACAGAAAACATGCAAATCTTACAAAGGAGTATTTTGGTAGATAAAATAGTACATTTTCACAATAAAACTTCAAATTTTAATAAACTTGGAACTTTCTGTTTCAAATGTTGAAAATGTTTTGACTTTTCAAACTCAGAAAATTCCAGAAGTTGAAAATTTGAAATGTTTTCTAGAAAATTTCCGAGACTCAATTTCTGAGTTTTTTTTTTTTGGTGGAAATTTATCAACTTTTACAATGACCGTAATAGCCCTGAAATTACAATTAATATTTATTTTTTTTTAGTGAAATTAGGCTACTTTATTTGCCTGATTTTAGGATCTTTTTATTTTATTTGACCTTTGACTACTGTTGACACAACAAAACGTTTGGACACTTTGTGGACGTTTTATTGCTTCTATGATTAAAAATAACAAACTTGATGCAACGATCAACTGAAAGTCGATCCTTTTTTTAATTGCGTGACAATTAAAAAAAAAAAAAAAAAGTTTCTCTGCTGCTGCATCTTCCTCCCATCTGGCATTTCAAGCGACTCCGGGGAAATCATGCAATATTTACAGGAAGCCAACCTGATTTCCTCACTCATCCACAAGCTATTAATAACCGGCCGGCTGCAGAGGCAACGCGCCGCAGGGGGCGACTGCGCACTTTCTAAGGTCTGCAGATACTTTACAGCTCAAGACCAACTCAAGATATTTTCACTCAAGTAAAAGTGAACAGCAGCCGTCCAGGGAATCACTCAAGAGTAAAAAATATTGCAGTTTTCTGGCTGATTGCTGATCTTTAAAAATGCAGATTTTGGCCGACACTGAAATTGAATTAATGGTTTAATATTTTAAAGTTACGTTAATTGACAGACCGAAATATAAAGTGGGAACTTTGGACAAAAATGACAATAATTACAGATAAAGAAGGTTTTACTTTAATCTTAAATGCAAAATGTATCTTTATTTTTTAGCTTGATTGCTGCTCTGAATATGTTGCTCTTCCAGAAATTGACCTTATATGACTGTATCCTCCAGTTAATGTTGACCTCAGTTAATGATTAATCATTTACTGATCGATTAATTGTTTAAGCCATTATTGTTTGTTGTCTTTTTAGAGACTATTGTTGGTGGATGTGTGGTTCTTTCAGCAGCTCACCTGTGCTACTGTACTGCGTATCTAAACCCCCAGCTCCCCTAACGTACCATGAGACGCTTCAGTAAAAGAAACTTTTGACACCAATTCGTCCCTGAAGCGCAGGCTTTAACTGGGACAAAACTGAACACAAACAACATGTGCAGTCAGGTGAAAACTGGCCACAAAGAACTGAAACAAAAAGGGTTTACACCGACGTCAAAGTTATAGTTTGCATCGTCATTTCTGAAGACGTTTCCGTCTTAAATCACCTGCCAGCTTGCTTCAGGACATGCAGGATATTTGTACAGGTGTTGTCCCAATAAAGCCACTTTCCATCAGTTGTTTGCACAATTTAGTGACAGCAGCTTTCACTTTGTGAATCTGCGGCTTTTTACGCAGACCTCATTAAACTTCATCACTTTGTGGCTTCTTAAACTCACAACTTTATAGCAGTTATTGATGAAACCGCCGCCTGGACCGGCGCCAGGCTTTTGATCCCCGGCAGACTGCACCTGTGTTTGCTGACCGGACTCACCTCCCAGAGCCTGACTCTTTCACTTTGCTCCTGCCAAAGCGCTGCACCGTTACGGCCAGAGGGAACTGGGTCACCGCTAATGACCGCTGACAGGACGGAGAAAGGAGCAATTCATTTTAGCCACTGGGAGCAGATTCTATAATTAAGATAATTAAGCATGAGGGAGGGAAGAAGGAGTGCAGCTACAGTTTAAAGGTGGACCGAAGCGTTGGCAGCCTCTCTTCCTGGAGGTTTGTTTACTCCGAGTGTGAGCAAAGACGGCGCAGCAAGGACACACCGTCCTCAGAGCGTGTGAAAGGCTGGAAGTGGTGAGAGGAGAAACCCAGCAGGACTCAGCGACCCGCTTGGAGGTTTTTCTACCTGCAGTGAACATGTAATCGAACTCTGACCCCAACTCTGGTTCACCTAAAAACGGTTTGGTAGAAGTGAACGCTGGCGCAGTTTGAATTAATGTGTGAACGCAAACTGCTAAAAATGCAGGAAGTGACCAACAGCGCAGGGCATTATGGGTAAATACAATCAAAAGAAACGGGCTAGCCTAGCGCTAGCAGGAGAAATGACTTTTAGTCTTTTACCAGAGACGAAAGAAAAATCGTACAGCCGCTAAAATCTGACGCTACTCCATTTGTTTGAAGAAGGAAGTTGTGTTCAATGTCTCCTTCAGAAGTTTGCCATTTCCTCCAGTGATTCTTTGTGCAGCGCCTCCACAGGCGAGGAGGGGAACAGGTTTTCAATAAGTTTGGTTCATTGGACACAGTTCAACGTGAAAGATAACAAAGCCAGTTGGAAATGTAATAAATATTACAACTTTGAGCCCCTAGCAAACTGAGTCTACTGGACTACAAAGCAGGGCATTCTGGGTAAATACAAGCTAAACAAACACAAGTCTAATGCTAGAAGCAGAAATGGATTTAAGTCTGTTACCAAAACAAAAGAGAAATCCTACACTAATCTCCTGCAGGTTATTTCCCAAGAGTAGATTAGTAGGTGCTACTTAGCAAAAACAAAACAAAAAACAACAATTTTTTGATTGTTATGTATTATGATTGAGAATCAATAGAAAACAACCCAGTTGAGTTTAAACTAAAATCGATCCTCTGGCTGTAAGCCTCCATTTAGTTACAGTTTTCAATGTTTTATTTACCAGGAAGAGTAAAAATGATGCAATCGTCTGAACATTTTCCAGTAACCTAATCAGGCAGCTTGGTAGTAAAATATCCTCTCTGATGTTCGAGTCACTTGAAAAGGTTGGCAGTGGTTTCACAAACTCATCAGAAGAGTCGATCCACTCATCCGGTCAGAGCGGGGCCCGGTTCTGATGAGGTGTTCCGACCCAGTTTCACTCCCAGACAGACCCAACGCCTCCCTCGCCACCTCTGCTTCACACTGAACGGATTCGGAAAAGTTTCGCAGTGGTGAACTCATCCAGAACTTTTGGCCAATCGCTTCTCCTTTTGATTCTGATTATTTGATGCTGCAATGGAGAGAATTTATTTATCTTTGCAATTTATTCATTTATTGTTTCCAGATCAAAATGGTTCTGGGTTGGATGTTTGTGCACAGAATTAAAATACCAACGACACATTATTCTGAATATGGCGATAAATTAGGGATGAACGATTCACTTTTTCCCATATTGAAAAAGATTCTAGAGGACGCATCACTGATGATGTGACCAATCCATAAGAACAGATCTATTCAGTCTAGTTCTAGGCTTTGTGCCTCATATTCAGATTTCACTTTCTGACCATTTTAGTTTTATGTTTTGACAGTTGGCTGTTTTACGTTTCTAAAGTTTTGATCAACCTTGTGAAGTTATTGGTGTATTTCAGAGAGCTTGACTGGTACAGAGTTAGCAAATATATTTGTAACTAAGTAATTTATGTCAATTCAAAACAAACCTTCGTTTGACTTGTTAAATGTTTTCACTGCTGACGGTTTTAATGTGTTTACAATAAACTCCGGTTTGTTTATCTTGGAGGTAATCGCACTAAACTGGGACCAAACCAGCAAAACCAAAGTTGGTGTTTAATGGGAACCAACATATTTTTCTGAATCACTGTTTGCTGTGATGGATTTGTAATGATATGAACAGCCTCTTTCAGTTTAATGGCTGAGTGCTAAGGCTGAAAAACTCTTCACATTATGAGAGTCATCAGTCAATATCAATAATTATTGATTAGGGTTTTTTTTGTTGGTTTTTCACATCTGAAGTATTGCCACACTATTGGCAGTTTTACTCTTATTCACAGTTTTTATTTTGAAGCATTTATGAGGCAAAACCTTAAAGTGCTGCTGCGCCAGCGACTCAGCAGGTTGTTGCTAGGTAACCAAAGAATGATTGAGTTGCTAGGTAACCAAAGAATGATTGAGTTGCTAGGTAACCAAAGAATGATTGAGTTGCTAGGTAACCAAAGAATGAGTTAATTGATTCCATCAACCTCAGTTGGCCTGAAAAAACGGTTGCGCGACTAAAGTCGCTGCTTTGCCTACATCTCCCAGAATGCTGTGCGGTTCTGGCTCGGAGTTCAGGGAATATTCTACGAGATGTTTGATCGATTGATATCGATCAGATTGTTTCACCCCACATTTCCTCTTTTTGCATTTTGAAGCTCGATTTAGAACCTTCTCAAAGTAAAAATGCAAATTCTTGCCATTTCTCAGTTTACCTTAAGTCCGTAATCTAAAAAGGACTTAAGGTAAATTGTTTATTTCAGTTAAACACTTTAACTGAAACATTTATCTCTGCACTGAGTGGCAGCAACGCCCTGGTCGCTATAAATATGGACGAACCTGTTTACCAGCTGGGCCCAACACTCCCCGGGCTTAACATTGTTTTAGTCTGGCTTCAGTTTCAGATTGCAGCCTCCGCTACCAACGTGCTGCTCCAAAGGCGTTGCCAAACCTACAACCAGCTGCAACGGGTTCTTAAGCCAACAAAAACCACCCAAAAACCCGGTGAGTTTTGGACCTGTTTGCTGTTCGGCTCTTTAGGGAATTACACAAGTTTAACAAGCCGGGATTAACTGGTTAAGTTGGTCAGAACATTTGACAAGTAGGCAGAGAGGTTGAGCGACTGGACGAATTTAATAGATCGCTGGTTTTCTTTTTATGAATTACTCTCTTAATTACGGTAATAACAATGACTGATTGAAACCAAAAGATGCAGTTCATGGAAAAAACAACTAATCCCATTTCTAATGGTGCACACAAAGTCCTTCCAGCTGCAAGCGAAGCTTTTATTTTCCCCAGAGCCTCAAAGTGCAGCAGCGGTTTATTTACTTAAACTTAGAACAATTTTCTATGTTCAGAAAACATTATGCATAATAATGCATATTAAATAATGCTTCTACAATGTATAGAAGATCAAACAACAAATAAAATGGACAATCAGTAGTTCTAAAAATGCTGTATATGTAAAATATGACTTAAAGATGGTTTAAGCATCTTTTACTGGAGGAATTACATCCGTCGATTCTGAAAGTGTTCAATTTATTTTCACATATTTTTCCATCTATACAAACTTCGGCTTATTAATTGGACCAATTGGACAATTTATCATATTAATCTTTCTAATTTTGTGAATTAGGGTTGCATCTATTTTTATTTTAGTCCTATTGATATTTCTAAAAATTTATTTAACCATTTAAATATATTTTATATATTAGAAATACTTCTAAATTATTGATTTTCTAAGCAAGAAAATAAACATTTTATTGCAACATAGCACTGCCTTAGTGAATGCTTAACGATTTGTAGCAGAAGATGCATCTGCAGATAAAGAAATCCTTCTAAACATCAGAGATTTGCCTAAATTTCCCAGATTAGATAATTTATCGCCCAGTAAAATTTGGCCTACGTTCACCCAGATGTTTTAAAAACCCAATGATTAGATTTAAGGATCTCTTTGAAAAGAAAACAGCAAAGCCTCACTCCATGTTTGCTTTTGAGGGAATAACATTATAACATTTCTGTAAAATCCTCAGGAAGTAGAATGGGTGTGTATTTTTGTGTTGAATCATGCAGCCGCCACATTCCCGCCCATTAAAGTAGACAAAGCTTTACACCAGGAGTGTCCAACTCCTGTCCTTATCGGTCTGTCTGCAGCAAGTTTCATTCCTGTTTCAACATTTCTGACTCAAACAGTTGGATAACGTCTTCAACATGTCGTCTCGTCCTGCACATGTCTGTTGATGAATCATGAATCAGGTGTGTCAAACCTAAACACTCCAATGTTTTTTCCTCGTCTGCTCACCTAGTTTTGGGAAGACGATGAGGTATTCTGCGTTGCACTGCGGACAGGCGACCCTCGCCGTGCTGTTGCCTCGCTGCTTCTCGTCCACCCAGCGCTGCAGGCAGGCCTGGTGGACCCACTTTGTTGAGCCCCGGCACCGGCACGGCCGCACCCACTCCGCCGTGCGGTCGTCCTCATCTGTGGCGAAGCACACCCAGCAGCTCCTGAGGCGACAAGCACACATGTTCACAGTACAGCTGAATCGATTAATCGCAAATAATCCATTTATTTGGATAATCGTCAACTAATCAACCAGAAATTAAGTCAAAATTTCACATAAAATATGTACATTTTTAAGTTAAAATGAGAAAAAAACATTTGTCTGTAAACTGTTCTAAGCAGAACTCCTCAAGTGGCAGCTATAGCTTAATTACTTCAAATTATGCTACAAAAGTACACAATTAATCGATTTGTTTGAATTTCAACAACTCATTTTGTAATAAACTAATTATCAACTGCAGTGTAAAGACTCAAAAAAGGCATTTTGTTTAAAGAAACTAAACCAGAATTGTACAAAACTACATCCATATCCATTTATACGATGTAAGCTAACATTTTGTAAAGACATTCTGTACTGATGAGTATTTAATACACACAGTGATATGAACAATACAGAACAGGCAGTATTACCAATAAATAAATATAAACACACCATGTTGATTTAATCTGACTCAGGTAGTTTTTGCTACACTGTGTTTCATAACTGATTATGCATTTTTAAATGTAAAATTATTATAAAGAGAAAAGTTGATTTAATAATTTTTTTGTATTTTAAATAAAACCTGTTATATTCTGTTTCAGAAACTCTTGCTAAATGTATTTATTGCTCCACATATATGAATTTTACAGAACAAAATGAGTTCATTCACATCCAGTTACATCTAATCAAACAGTCTGATTTAGATTAAAACCCAACTCCAAGCAAGACAAGTAAAAAAAGATAGATTTGTTAAAAACCGTCCAAGAAAATCAGACGATTGGTTTTCCTTTAATGGCCAAAATGAGAGGCATTAATTAGATGATGATTGTCCAATATGTCGATGGGATGAGCTCAGATTACTGCGCAGAGACGAATACTGATGAAGGTTGAAGAAGGGAAGCTGAAAACGGTTTTAGACGAATGTCCTGACAACCAAACCAAACCAACTGCTATTGATTCAAAAAGCATTCTTCCTGTAACCCAGTTGCAGAGAACGACATTAGAAACAGCCTTGAAATGCAATCCTCTAAAACAAGTGGTCGATATGTAGCTTATAAAATCTAAAAACTAAAACGGGTTTGCTCTTCAAACAAGACAATCAAACGACTCATTTTTACAACACCAATCCAGTCAACCAGAACTAATTTATTGACTTTTATTAAATGTTCAAAATAATAATTGTCGATTAATGGTTTATTAGATTAAAATGAGTTCCAGTCGACAACATCCGCTAGCTAGATCTTTCTTTGGTGTTGTCATTAGGCTGCCATCCAACAGAGGGCGCCACTGCTGGTTCTGAAGTGGAGCCAGTTGATTCAGAAATAAAGATGGCGGAGAGATCCCAGAACCAGAGGGATCTCTCCCTCTGTTTGATCTCTCCCTCATAAACGCTTTTTATGCAGTTTTGTTTTGAAATATAAACACGCAACAAGCTCATAAAAGTTTCACCAATTTTTTGTTTTTTTTTTAATTCAGCATATTATAAAACACTTATTTTAATGGAAAGAAAAACTCTTTCCTTTTTTATAATAATGTTTTTTTGTCCTAATTGGAATAATAAACTGAACTTGATGCAATTTTTGATAATTAAGATTAATTGGCAATAAATGAATGACTTGATAAAGTAACTAATGTATCAAATATGGGATTCAGACATTTAAAATTGACCTTACCTTTTTGATTTCTTTATATTACCTACAGTGTAACATCAATAAGAAAAATTATGATATAAAAAAGGAAACAAGTTTTGAAATAAAATGGAAAATGAAATAATGTTAAATCAATACTGTCAAAATGATAAATATTCATTAATGTTACACTGTATAATCAAATAAACTGGAAATATTTAATTATGGGATGCAACATTTGGCACATTAATTGCTTTATCAAGTCATGCAATTATTTCTACATTTATTCACAATTTTGGCAGGCTCTGTTTTCCATACAAAATACTTGGCTATAGTTACATAAGCTATTTGGTGAAAATTATAAGCTAAGTGAGTAGATTATATGCGATTGTTTTCCTTAATTTGTGTTTGAACCATTAAACAAAATGAACAAATAAATAAATGTCATTACCTTGACAGTCCTAAAAACAAAGAAACTAAATGTGGAGGACAAAAAGTAACAAGTTTGCTTTAAATCTGATATGAGAAAAAAAAATATGGTGGATTGAAACATTTTCCTCACACCTATGTGTGAAACGCTGCACTGCGAAGGAAGCTGGCTGCCTGTGGCTGGTTCTGATAAGAACCTTTGGGCCTTATGTTTGACAGCGATAGAGGCTTGGTACATAACCGTAGCAGCAACCGGACCTGGCATACATCTCACAGCTATCTGCTCCACAAACAGCGTCAGGGTTACACACAGCAGCACGTAGCTGGGGCACATTTCACAAAACCCGCATGTCTGTCCTTTATTTGGGAAATGGCTTCAAAGTTCAAAGATCAATATTGACAAAAAATGCAGTGTCAAACGCTTCCCTGTACACACACAAGCACACACACACTCACTGCAAATGTTATCAGCTGTTGGTCTTTGTCTAGGAGGAAGCAGGACTGAAATGTTGCAGCATCTCCTCACCGCCATGTAAACTCTCTTCACCCGATTAGCTGTCCTAAATGTTCATATTTAGCCTGATAAATTAAAATGTTTATCAGGCAATAGGATATGATAAACTATTTCATCTCACTGACACAGATTGCATGTGTTGCAGATCTTGACCCGAATCCAAAACAAGCTAACTGTAACATATAAACATATTAACAAAATGAAACCTGGAGATGTAGGTTTTATTCATTTGGTGCAGTGCACCACAGCAAAGTAAAAAAAATAATGCAGAAAAACTGCTGGCCAACCACTCGTATTCTTTTTTTCCTCGCTGACTGTGTCGGCTACGCTACACACAGAACCGTTGCCATGGCAACTGGCTGATGCTCCCAAAAAACACTCAAACATTTTCCACACGAAGAAAAGAACAGTCAGTCCGTTACAGTTTTATGTTTTTAAGACTTTATTTTAAGATGATTAATAAGTGATTGTGTTGTGGTGGATTAGCTGCCGCTGCTATTAGCTAAGCTAACAACGGCGGTAGTTCAGCCAACGTAAATATCTGCCGTACTGATGATCTGTCAGAGTTGCTGTTTTGGTTGCCTTTTCTATTTTGGAACTAAACTGAACACACCAAAATCCACAGCACATCTACATGTTAAGATTTTCAAAGTCAAGCTAGCATAACTGAACTACTTTCTTCAAAATGGTCTCAAAATTATAACATTATCGTTTATCGCAATAATTTCTAGGAAAATTTGTTATTGTGACATTTGTAATACATTGTATTACATTTTTTCCCAAAAAGCCAGACTTTCTTGTGTTTATGTGATAAGAAAACCTTAACCCATAATCTGGAGCCTGTGTGAAGAATTTAAATCAGAGGAAAAAAAAACACTTAATAGATAGTGCAAGTAGTCACAGTGTGATTTGGAAAGCTTTGGGGTGTGAAAAATGTGATTTGTCTACTGGAGGTTTATAAATAGAGAGGACATTACATTAACCTTCTCCAATTCAATGCACCAGTGCTAAAAATGCTACATACTTTTCATGCGTACATAAAAGCTACGTTTTTCCAAGACAATGTTTCAATTCCACTGCCAGGAACCAAATATGAACAATTTACAAGAAAGTACATTTCTTTTAAGATAGTTTGGCAATACTATAAATGCAAAAAAGCATTATGGTTCTCAAAATATAAAACTTTCTTAGGCTAAATTTTCTCTCTGTTGGGCAGTAAAGGATATTACCAATCTCTTCTAAAATTTAAAAATAAATTTAAGGTCATAACATTGGACAGGTGTAACCGCTGAATGTGAGAAATTGGATGCAGTTATGAGACAGTTTTACTTTCTAAATGCAGTTTCTCTTCTGCGCCACCTCCATGTTTGTTGTTTTTTTGATGTGAGATATGTACGGACTTAACCTCAACGTTTCTTCCTGTTTAAAAGAAAATGCTTTAAGGAAGTCCATACTTCAAATAAATTCTACTGTGGCAGCATAATAAGAGCTTTTTGTTTAAGTGCTGGACCAACAGAAACACGTTTGATTTACCTGAAGATTGGATAAATTAATCAAACTATCTTCAGGTTAAAGTTTCCAAGCCAATGTGTTTGAAAAATCACATTTTGTACATGAGTACATCCTTAATTACCCAAGATTCTATGAAAAATAAAGTTGATTTCAAGATATAAATATTCATGTTTATAAGGCAGAAAAGGAAAATCTCCATGATGAAAATATCAGATTTTGTAATGAGTGTGACCTTTCAGGTGAGTAAGGAACCCAACAAGAGTTAATAAACATTTATTCTTCCAGTACAGTCATTAAACAATGTTTGTTTAATGGCTGTTAAAGTGTTGGAAGTCCAGCAACATTTTTCTGATAATTGGATAAGAGCTTTTAACACATTGCAAGCCTAGCGTCTAATAATGCTACAGCGGTTTTCATTTTTAACCCAAACACATTTTATTTGCAACATTTAAAAGTTAATTCAATATTTTTTAGATGAAAGACATTAATACACAACCTTTAAACTGTTTACTAACATGTCTAGAGTAGGGATGATATATTTTCTAGTACAATAGTACCACAAAATACCAGCTATACAAACTTTTTATTACTATTTTTAGGTAACTGACTATAACTGGGGCAGCAGTTATAGCCCTACAAAAACAAACTACTCTTGAAAAACATACACATTTGTAATATACCTCTTTAGGATGCCAGTTACACAAAGAAGTGTGATTTGTATGACCAGAATGCACATAGTAACAATATTTAATGACATTTTCAAATTAATTGAAACAATTTAACAACTAGTAAAGAAAATAATTAGAGGTTTTTAAGAATCACCAATTGGAATTTATTGTGACAACAATAATCATGATGCATCCTAGGATAAAGAACCTGGAGTGTAAGCTACTATTTTGAAGAGGTTTTAGTTTGTGTCCCGTTTTAAACCAACATGCTCACGTAACAATGAATTAAAGCGGTTCAGAATTAGCCATCCATATTGGACGCCTCTGCATAACGTCAGGTGTTACGGGGTCATCGGCCAGGTGGCATCAATCAGATCATTGTCAGAAGCAGATAGGTCAGGCTCACCAGAGGCTCCAAAAACATGTTAAAATACACCAAAAGGCAACGCAAAATCTACATTTCTGACTTAAGTGAACAAATCCTCGAATATCTAATGAATACACCCTGTATTGTTGACAAAAACGCTTTCATGTAAGTGAACTACGTAGCTGCCATTAGCTTATTTGCTAAAACTTCAGCTCACCTGTCCAAATTCTGCTGTGCGACCACCGGACCAGGTTCCGCCATTGTTGTGGGGCGACACTGTCTTATTGAAAGCGAAGAATAAGAGGCGAAAGAAGAAGAATAATTTTAAAAAAGTCCCACACCTGATAATCTGCTGAAGGAGGATTTAAAACAAAAAAAAATTACTAGCTAACAAATTAGCTAACTAGCCCCACAGAGGCCGTTTTGTTGACACGGACCGTCGGCTGCAGACGTGCCACGTATTTGGAGTAAAACTACGCCCCGACGGCCATGATTATCAAAATAGCATTTATCTCCTCCCGGTGGTTATTTAAAGAGAAAATACACTTTAAATCTGCTATGGCCTCGTTTCCTCTGACCGTTTGACTCCATTGACTGGCCGTGGCTACGTCATCAAAACAAGAACCACGCCGTCAGCGCAACTTCCGGTAAACATGGGAAATGTAGTTTTAAAACCTCTACACTTACTATATTATATTACATTATATTATATTATATTATATTATATTATATTATATTATATTGATAAAATAAGAACATTTTTCAGCCATTTAAATTCAGTTCAATTTAAAAATACTTTCTTTTTTTTGTTTTGTTTTATCACCAAAGGGAAATCTAATGGAACTCATTTTACCTTTAGTGGCGATTGTTTGTTAAACCAAATATCCAATAAAAAGTTTCATCAGCCACTATGAGGCGCAGAGGTCAAGATTCCTGACATAGGCGAAAGAAGTTTAAGGTCCAAATTTGTTGATTGTCTTGGTTGCTTTTATTTTCCTTTTATGCAAGCAATTACAATTATCCAACTTTTCTTTGTTCTCCTGACCTCTCTTGCATTGGTAAAAACCATAGGCCCCAAACCCAAATGCCTGCTGGTCCTACATTTATAGAACGTAGACTGACCCACCTTACTTCCTGTCTGGCTTACAAATAATAAAAAATAGGAAAAAATAAGAAAATGAAACAAAAAATAAAATAAATTATTAACCTGCAAATAAGGCAAAAAAATAGAAGTTTAAGATTAAAATGGATAAAGAAATAAAGAATAAATAGCTCCAACATTACCCAAATATTTTCAAATATCATCGAGGCAGCAAAGATACCCAGCAGTCAGTGTTTTGATGAATCTAAAGAGGCTTCTGACTGAAGATTGTCCTGGTTGACATCATCAGTTGTTGGTAAACAATGCTAACCTTCCTCATTTGTTTTCGCTGCTCCTCTTTAAAGCTTTTTAAAGTATTCATTTAATTTCTGTTACAGTGAAGAGTTTTCAGAAAATATAGAGGCAAATCATGTACATATGCTTATAAGTGATGTACAATTTATTTTATTGGTATAACTAATGGCTTGTTATTTGTTATTTTTAGGTAACTGTACAGCTATCACTGTGTCACACCAACCATAGTCTCACAAACACAATTAATGGTCTTGAAAAAGATTCTCATTTGAAACATTTATTGGTATTTACTGATTTTTTTGTTAAGCAAACAGTGGATAAGATAATAAAATTATCAATCCCAACTGTAAGGGCAGTTTTAAACATTGTTAATTAGAAATTATCATGGCAACAGTAAATCAAAATTCTCGTTGTGATACGAAATGTATCATGTGATAAACAAAACACTAAATAAATAGTGAATCTAAAACTTTTAGTAAGTTTACCTGTGAATTATTTCACTTCATTTTCATTTATGTTTTGATTGATAACAGATTTTTTAAAACAAAAATAGTAATAATGGCAATCATATTTAACAACCGAGCACACAGCATACTTATAATTGCCAAAGTACATAATATAAATTATTCTTAATCTGTGCCATATACAAATAAAATAAAATAAAGCATATGTTTTTATTCATGCAATAAAACTTTATCTTGGACAACAGAAATTAAGGCTGCTTCGCAGAATTGGGTCGTAACGAGTTACATTTACTGGAGTAACTTTTTTTTTATTTAAATGTACTTATTTCTACGTTTACCCTAGTAAGTAATTTCATTATGAAGTATCTCTACTCTTACTTTAGCAAAGTGTCTCTATTTTTCACCCATTGCATGAAAAAACAAGTTAAAGTTTCATAAGATTTTTGTTTTGAAAGAAAAATCTTTTGCCTAATTAAATTTTTTGTTTCTTATAGAAATTATTGTTAAAATTTAAGTTTGATTCATCTGATGATGTAATTTTTAATTGATCATTTGATCAGTTAAATACTTGAGTAGACGTTTCCTTATTTGAGTACTTGGACGGCTTCGTCTTACTTTAAGTTTCCAGCAGCTTTGGAGCGACCGCACCGAGATAAAACTCCAACTCCCACAAGCCCTTTCGGCCATCACCCATGCGCCGCAGTCAATCAGCTGTTGAGGCAACTGCTGACCACCTCGGCTCAAGCGTAGCTCGTTTGTCATATCCCAACCCAGGCGAGGCAAACAGAAATATCTATTCACAGTCTGAAAAAGGTGAAGGATAAAAGGTAATGATTTCCGCTTCACTTCGAGCAGAGGCGCAGCGGGTGTGCATGTCGTTCTGCCGTGTGCAGCGGGACACAGATGGAGCCGATGTTCGTGGGGAAGTGAGCTTCATGACATGCACATATATCTATATATAGATATAGAAAGATAGATATGCACGCCGGGATATCTCGGCCAACGCGACAGAAATCAGGAGTCGGGTTGGTGGTCAGAGTGTTTTATGGGGCTGCGTGGACTGAGCCACAGTGGGCTGCAGATTGTGGTTCTTTCATGACCTTGGAAGCGGTTCTGTTGGAGGAAAAACACGGATTATAACCGGTGGGGAGTTTGGATCTCACACCACTGCGATTATATTTAAAGTCCGACTCATATCAGTGGTTATTATGCTGAATGGCGGGTCTGTGTCACGCCAGCTTTATAGTGTTATTATTATTATTATTATTATTATTATTATTATTATTCAGAGGCCACAGCTTCGCTCTTCAGCGTCTCTATCAGTATGTTTATCTGTTCATGTTTAACCTCTGATGAAACTTGGTATTTTTATGTTTAGCAATAACCAAACGCTTTCTGTTCATTTTTCAGTTAATTTCTAAAGAACATAGTTTTTCTGCAATGTGTTGCCAAGACAACCGAACAATTTCTAGGATTTGCGCATTGTTCGCTTTAAAATGCGACGTAGAAATATTACGCAAAAGCCAATTCGTGTCAATGCGGACTTCTGCTTTTTTTTTTTTTTTTTAAATATCCCTCTTCTAAGTTGTGGGACACAATTTAATATTTAGATATTTAATTTAAACATATGGATTAAATGTTGTATCTGAAATGTTTGTCTTTTTTATTAAATACTTGATTAAAAATGCAATTCTTTTTTGCTTGTGTGACTTAATTTATTAGTCTAAAATATGCTGCAAGTGAATCTTTAAAAAAAATGAAAGGAAGGAAGAACTGACAAATGTTTTTGTTTTTCTTTTCTTTTTTTTTTAGGAAGTCGTTAACAATAAGGCGGAAGTGTCAAGGTGTCTTTTCACCTTGCTGAAGGACAGCTGTATTTACTGACGTATGCAAATGAGTGTCAGGGGAGGTCCTTATGCCAGAAAAAGCACAGAATCAGTTTCACATTGCAGCTCTGGAGTTCCTGCGTGGAAGGAAAAACGAGACGTGGCGAAATCCAGTGATTATCTGCTGCCATATTCTTCTTCGTGGAGATTTAAGAGTCATTTTTAGGGTTTTATTTTTGGAGGGCGACCCGGTTTGATGTTTTACTCCCTTTCGGCTGCCGTAGGAGTTCTCTCTATGATCTCCCTAGAAATAGAAATCTTCATTTTGACTCAAAGTGTTTGTTTCCTCCTGTCGCAGCTCAGCAAACCATGCAGGATGATTTACTGATGGACAAAAACAAAGCCCAGCCTCAGCAGCAGCAAGTAGACCCTCCTCCTTCCACGCCGACCCCGTCATCGGAACCCACTTCATCTTCATCCGAGTCGGAGAGCCCGTCGACCGGCAGCAGCCTAGCGGCTTCCGCGCTGAGCAGCGGCGGCGGTGGCGGCGGAAAGGACCGAGTCCCGATGGAGTCGCCGGTCCTGCCCGGGCTGGGCTTCCACCAGCACCCGCTCCAGGACACCGGCGGGCCCCTCGGGTCCCCTCCGGCGTCGTTCGGGACCACTTGGTCCACGGGGACCACGAACGCCGTGGAGGACAGCTTTTTCCAGGGAATACCGTCGGTGAATGGGACGATGCTGTTCCAGAACTTCCCGCACGTCAATCCGGTGCTGGGGGGAAATTTCTCCCCGCAAATCGGGCAGCAGCAGCAGCGGAGGTCCCCGGTCAGTCCCAGCCAAGTTCCCTTTCCCCAGAGAAACGCTTACCAGACCATCATCAACAACAGCAAGGGGACATCGTCGTCTTCCCCGGCTTCCGCCTGGAACAACCACCAGAACACCGGGTGGAGCTCCGCGTCCAGCCCGTGGAGCGCGCTGCAGCCGGGCAGAGATCCGCGCCGCGCCGTGGGCGTCGGGGTCGGGGTGCCGTCTCCGCTCAACCCCATCTCCCCGATGAAGAAGCCTTACACCAGCAACGTCATAGCGCCCCCCAAATTCCCGAGACCCGGGGGTCCTCTGGCTCAGAAGCCCTGGATGGAGGACAGCAACAACATGCTGCCTTTCCAGGTAACAACATCAAGCCCTGAATTAGGCTGTTTATTCTCTACAGTGACCCCAAAAGGTGGTCATGTTTCTGTTCCCAGTTCTCAATCTATTAGAGTTGGGTAGGAGCTACTGACTTTGTTTTGAAATATTTTACTTGTAGGAGTGTTTTTGCTATTTTTGCTGCTCTTGCTTTTACTTGAGTAACTTTATTATGAAGAATCGCTGCTTTTACTTGAGTAAAATATCTGGATTCTCTAACATGTTTAACTAAAAATTAACCAGACATACATCTGCAGTTCTGGGTTAACGTTTCTTTTTTTTTTCTACAAAGAAACTGGTGTAGAAAAAAAAATCTTTAGTTTTTGTTTCTGATTTTTACTCTAGTACAAATATATTAAAGTTTCTCTACTCCTACATAAGTTACATTTTTCAGTGCAATGCCGACCTTTGGTGTTTTCACACCTTTTCATTCCGTCTTATAGACTCGGTTTGCTTGGGAATCAAAGTTGCAGCATTTGTTATGTTTCCAGCTCCTGCCTTCATTTTGTCAAACCAGTTGACAAACCTGTTCCCCTCCTCACCTGTGGGGGCGCCGCACCAGAAAATACACAAGGAAATGACAACAACCTCTGAACAAGACGCTCATTTTTCTATATTTCTTCACGAAATATACAAAAATGGAGTAGTGGCAGATTTTAGTGGTTGTAGAATTTCTCCTTTGTTTGTTCCAAGTTTGTTTGGCTTGTATTTACCCAGAATGCCCTGCGCTGTAGTCCACTTCCTGCTTTTGGACACGTCTCTGATCCCCTGCCACTCACATATGTATTCGAACTGCGCCAGCGTTCACCTCAACCAAATCAAAACTGAGGTTTGCAGGCGGACCAGAGTTCAGTTAGGCGTCCACACCTCCCCAAACGATCCGGACTTTCTAGACAAACAAACTCGTTTGATCAAAGTGGACTAAACACGACTGGTTTCAATTCAATTAATGTAGTTAAAGAAAATCTGAGCAAATACAAAAAGCATTTTCCAAATTTCTTTGGTGGGAAATCTGTCCTAAGTAGATCGGACATTTTGCTGTAAGATAAATGATAATATTGTCATTTCGAGACCACTTTGAACAAACGTCATGATTGTTAACACCCACTATAAAGTCTTAACATGAATTAATAGTGTGAACCAGGGCCGGGTTTAAAAAAATGAGGGCCTCTGAGCTGGAGGCAGTTTTGGTCCCCATCCCAAAAAAAAAAACTAAAATGTTTCACTCATAAAAATAATAATCCTTATTGTCATTATAGAAATCATCATAATGTACTTTTTTACTACTTGGCCTGTCATAATGATACATTTTAAAGTTATGGTGATAAACGATAAAATTGTTTTGGAACCATTTTCAAGTAATAAAATAATAATAGCATAATAATAATAATAATAATAATAATAATAATGTAAGAGCACATTCTTAAGATTCTCAATAAACTTTACATTTTAATCAACTTTAACACTGGAACTGGAAGACATTTTAAATAATCAAAAAACAAAACTACAAATAAAATGAACTATGAACTCTGTAAACAAAATTGTCCTTCATTAAAAGTGATAGTTTGTACCAAAGCAGCAGACCGAACACTTTTATCATCCAGTTTTTGGTAAAAAGTGAAAAAAGAAGAAAAATGAGAATTACTGAGCTTGTTTTAATTTGTCACGCAATTAATTGATCTGTAGCTTATTGTGACAGGGCTTGTTGCTAATGATTGTGTGCATTATAACTGTGATGTAGCTCACAATAAATCAATTAAACACATAGTAAATTAAAATGAGCTCAAATGTTTCCATTTGCAATTTTTAAAATAGTTTTTCTCTTTTCCTGAAAAACTGCATAATAAAAGTCTTCAGTCTGGTGCTTCGGTCTCAGCTAGCCCTTTTTTGAAGTATAATTTGATTTATTTGTTGTTTTCTTTGCTTATTTTGGACATTTGAAATGTCTTCCATTTCCAGTGTTAAACTTTCTTTACAATTTAAAGTTTATTGATCTTTGTTTTGCCATCAGCTATTTGAAGTGTATCTACAGTCACTAAGGGTCAGAGTACAGATTTACATGATTTACATTTTTCTTTCATTTCACAGATACTGAACATTTTAAATGTTCAGTATTATATTGGGAGGAACACAGAAGCCTTTGCTTATTTTCCTGCTGTAAGAAGGTTTTTTGTGAGCGTATACAAGCCGTCTTTATTCCCAGGTAAAACGGGTTGCTAGCTTATAAATTGTTTTAGGAAATAAACTGCTGGCTAACAAGGAAATTGGCATTTGAATTTGAATTGAGACAGTACAAACATTGTGAACTGCAACTGCATTTATAATGCAATTTCCTCAATTTCCCACACTGATATGCAAATAGTTCTTTAGAGCTACGCTGTTTATTCACAGCAGGGACTCGGAGAAATGCCTTATAGCTGCTGGGATTCACTGTAGGAAGCCTTTCCAGCTCGACTGAGCGAACAAACATGAGCCCTCATAGCGTGTGGTCAGTCACGTGTGTGATCTATGTTTAGCTGACTGACAAACAGGCGTAAAGTAAGCCAACAGGATGCCCTCCCACCCCTTACAATGTCACCGACTGCTATAAAAACAAAGTCGACAGGAGAGAACGAAGGTTGAGCTGAAATCTTGCAAAAACGCAGCTTTGCTCTGGTTGGGATTACAGCCGGAGTGAAACGTACCCGGCTGCTGGTGTGAGTCCATGTCAGTGACACATTTTCCTCTGTTGGTCGGTCGGTCAGTCGGTGCAGCCTCAGCCGGATTACGGCTCCAGTTATCTCCTGGAGACGAGGTCAGGGGGTCACATGTCACGCTTTATGAAGCGGAGAAGAACTGCAACGGTCTCCCAATCTCATCCAGTCCAGCTTTGCTAGATGAAACTCTAAGATTAAGAGGGACATGCGGTATCAAAGCAGATAAAACAAATCAATTATTAAATTTAAAATGCCTTCTGAGAACTAACAGGTGTTCATGCAATGTAGGGTTGTAACTTGACCCCTCCTGTTTATTTCAATGGGATTTATAATGCAAAATTTCATATTTTGTCACATTGTTATACTTCAGTTTGCTTCCCAATTGCTTCTAAAAGCAACCTGAAGTGCTTAAAAATGTCACTCTGTCGTTTTTTGGTGTGTGGAAAATGAGTCGTTTCAAAAACATCTTGGCGGGGGTCACCGTTACCTAGCAACCCGAGTGGAGCCCAGTCTGTTTCCTAGCAACCCGAGTTACAGTCGGCTGGTTTTACCGCTGAAGTGTTTTGTCTCTTGTTGACTTACAATCCAGAAACCAGTTAATGCGTTCTTGTTGGCTGTGCAGGAGGCTTCACTTCTGCTTTTCAAAGATGTGCTGTTGTATAATCGTGGATCTGTTTGCAGCCGTCTTCACGCGCGAGCGTAAACGTTGAGTCGGCCGGTGTGCCCAGCAGCAGTTAATTTGCTAAAACACACAGGAAACGAGATGTTTTTTTCATTCTGAAGATGAAAATATAAATGGAACTGCTACTTTTTAATCAATATTCAAGAGTTACTAATTAAAACAATTAACTTGTAAGCTAGTTTTGTCTTATTTCAAGTGTAGAAAGTTATTTCCACTTCAAACTAGAAGAAAATACTTGTTTTTTTGCAATGTACACATTAAAATACACATGGAAAAATAAAATCTCACCTGGTATTTTTGTCTAGTTTATTGTGCAAATATAGAAAGACATAACTAACTTATTCAGCCAGACATATTAGCTTGTTTAGAGTCAATAAATACTTTATATTGGTGAAAAAGTCCTAGTCAGACTATTGTCAGATTATTTCACTTTAATCATGTCAAGATTTCTTGCTAAAAGTTAAATAGTCTGCCAGTGAAAAAAGCACTTTTTCATCAAAATTAAGGAATCATTTACTTAAAACAAGATCCTATATATTGTACTGAAAAGTTACTTGTAAGTTAGTTTTGCTTCATTTCAAGTGAACTAAGTTATTTTCTCTATAAATTGGTGAGATTTTGTGCTTTTGCAGTGCATGAATTTCCCACTTCTGAAATGGAAAAAATTGGAGCATTTTTTTCAAATAACCAACTTTTAAGCTCATGTTTTGTTATTATTTACTCAAATTGTACTTATAAACCCACATAGGCTGCACGATTCACAGACAGTTGATTTAAATTTTTACCTTGAAGAGATAAGTAGCACAGATATGCAAAGTCAGGGTTCTGGATGTCAGCTGTTGTTTATGTAAACGAAGCTCAGGTGCATCACTGGCTGGCCTAAAAAACGCTGGCGGCTCATTCTTTGAATCCGCCCGGGTTCGAATATCAACTTGTTATGTGCTTGTACCTGCCTGCTGCCTCCTCGGAGCCAGAGGAATGCCAGGAATTCAACCCAACGTGGCGGCGTCTCAGGACATCTGATGATGCTGATGGAAATTATCGCGCGCGTCTTCTGATTGCAGGCGAGATGGCGGGCGAACAGGAATAGCCTCCTGCTTAAATCGGTGCAGCGGAAGCTCGAAATCAGAAATCTGTTTTAGAAGAGAGACCTGAGCAAGACGACACTCGCACAGCGGAAACAAGTCGATAAAACACAATAAATAGCAAATGCAGCGATTTGACCTCAGGCAGTAGCATTCCTTTTTTACTGCTTTTTTAAATGAAACTCTTAAAATCTGAGTGTTTTGATTTTAAGAACTTTTCTTATATTATTCCAAATCCGGAGCGCGACAGAAAATGGTGTTTTGCTTGACTTTGGATATTTAAGAGCAGCCAGGAAAAAAAAAGAAGCTAAAATCGCTTCTTAAAACTTATTTTTATTTGTTGACATTTAATTAAGGCCTGATACTGTAACTTCATTCTTCTGATGTTTTATTTTATTTATTTTTGCACTTTATTTCTTTTTTCTTTCATCAATATATTCCATAGAGTTATAATGTTGGTACAGCACTTTGGTGCACTTTCAACCTGTTTTTAAAAGTAGACAATTTGACATTGAAAGTAGCTCGATATTTATTGTAGAAACATAATATGAAAGGGTTTTTATGGTAGTGTTATAGATGGGGAGGGGGGGGAAGGAATTAATTTCTGCTAAAAACTCTGAAACTTTTTCACTTTTTTTCTGAAAAAGGGTTTTGTTTCATCCTCATAATTAACAGAAAGAATGTTAAATTATATCACTCAGAGTGCAATAAATTTGCAAGACTTTCATTATTTTATATTAAATTACTGTGTTTTTGTTTCTGGTCCATATGTAAGCCATTTCCATCTGCTGTGAAGCATTTAATGAACTAATGTTTAAGTAATTTACCTGCTAATCTGGGGAAAGTTGTTAAATAGGTGCGTTAGAAATGAGCACAACAGTCCATTAATTTAATTTTTACAAATAGTTAAAATTTTGTGTATTTAGAGTTAGTTACTCCAATCTGAACAGAAATATCTCACCTTCACCCATTCCAGAACCATTTTTATTTTTTCCTCGTCTTAATTGATTTATTTTTGTCTGAATTAAATTCTCCTTTGCTTGTTATCGTGAGGGAAGGTGAGCTGATAAATTAGGTCAACCTGCGTTCCTCCAATCCTGCGATGTGTTCAAATGCAGAGTCTGAGCTCGTAAACGCCGCCTCCAGCTGCGTCCCATCAGGGAAAAGAAAAACTGACCAGCTCAGCGGTTTAAGTGTTTACCGTTTGCACCAAGTGGGCAGATTTTTATCTGTCGGGTCCTGAGTGGCGATGGGGGGGCGACACTTTTGAATGCTCAGCCGAACAACAATAGCCGCGGTGTCCAAACAATGCGGCTTCCCAGCTCGCGTAGCGAACACAGGACACAGCTGCCGAGACCGCAGCCGTCCAGCTCTGGTTGGACGTTTTTTCTCTCATGTTTCTCAGATGAAAACGTCAACAACCGAGGGAAGTTCAGTCATTTCAGCCCCAGCGACAGACTCGGCGTTAACACGACTGGTGGAACCGAATCCTCCTTTCAGTGAACATTTTGAAAACGCAGTGAATACAGGGTCCTGAACTGACATGAATCAAATATCACGTCCGATCTATTATGATATTGATTTATTTCCTCGTGTCTTTGTTCATTTCCATGACTAACTTTGATAACTAATTCCAGACGTCCGCATGTTTTTGCTGTTTTCCAGGACCGGAACCGGCCCTTTGATCCTTTTAACTTGAACTCTTTGGAGAATCCATTAATGGATATGATAAAGACTGACCATGACAAAGGTAAACCACACCCGGCCGGTGGGCCACCAGTGACTATCGCTGACATTATATGGAGGAATCATTTTGCAGGTTAGGAATATTTACTCATCTTTTGCTGCCACATGTTTGCATCTGTTTGTTTGTTTGCTTCATGAGCTAAAACTACTTTTTAATCAGCTGATCAGTTAAATCCCTGCAAAATTTAAACCTTTTCTGTTTTTCTACTGCAGGAGATAATTTAATATTTCAGCAAAATATTTCAAATGTGGATACAAAATTTCAAAGATCCCCAAAGACTTGCTTTAAAAAATTGAAGCTGGCCGCCGTCATAGACTTCATATTTATAACTACAAGAATCAGATATATTTTTCTTGCTCTTGTGTTTCCTGTTTCTGGTGGATATTTTCCAAGATGGCAGCCATGGCTATCATTGAAAATAAGCATTTGCACAAAAATTGACAGTAGTTATTATTGGTGAGCACAGCTAACCAGAGGTTAGGTTCACTAATCACTAATTCGCTAAGCAACAATCTTGGCTCACATATGAATGAAAATGAGCAGAAGCTAATGCTAAACTGCTAAACACAAAACATCTGGTGTGAAGCTTAGAAACAGCAAAATCCTCAACTTCTGATTTTGCTTGATATCGTTGATTTGAAGTTGCATGAACACAATTAGCAAGGTGACATAAATATCATGCAAGTCATGGAAACGGTTCACATTTGTTTCAATAAGTGTTTTAAACAACTCAACACGGCGGCCATCTTGAAATTTAGGTGGCTAAAGGGAAAAACAGGCTGATTTTTAGGATTGTTTCCACACTTGAACAGTTTGTACAGTAATCTTCTACACTCTTTTTGATTGTTCTTATAAATATGTTGCTTATTTACAGCTTCAAACATAATATTTGAACTGATTCACCATAAAAACAAGAATCTGTCTTCGGTTTCGGGGCGAATTAATTGTTTTTCCAGCTCCATTGTACGAACCAGGATGAGGCCTGGTGAGGTTTAGCTTTCTGCTCTCGCCCCAACAATGGAATCGTGAAGGTGGGAGGGGTGCGCACGTGTTTATTTCCAGTCCTGCACTGAGTGAACATTGTTAGGACAGAGTGATCTTGGGGGCCCCGCTATCTGCTTTGCTGTGTCGTAACGTCCCACAGGGCGTCCGCCGTGTTTGTCGAAGCACGACAAACACAGAGGGAGATATGAGGAAAGCCAGGCAGGCTTGGCGTTTTACCATGAGCTGCGCGTTCCCTGCATGCGTCGCTGTGTTGTCATAATGCAGAATGCAAGGTGCAGCAGAAAGCACCTTCGCCCGGCTGGCAGAACCCCTCGCCTCTTGAGTTGGGCCCGGAGAATTTGGTCAATTTTTGTTGACAGAAACTGATTTGGAAACATTTTTTTTTGTTTGTTTTGCCTGATTTTGTTATTTTTTGTTATATGAATTATTGTCACTTTTGTCCTTAAAATACCAAAAAAAATTTCGTAACTTCATAATTTGGTCCATCTGATGATATAATTTTTAAATATTAAACGATTAATTTGATCAGTTACTCCATACTTGACTAGACTTATTACTACTTGAGTTATTATAAAGTATTTATATTTTTACTTGCGTAAAGCTTCTGTATTTTCTCCCCACTGAATGAAAAACAAACAGAAATTCACCAGATGCAGACCTGCAGTTCTTGTTATAGTTTCATAGGTTTTTTTTTTATTGAGAGAAACTGATAATCATCGATATTGGCTGTTAGGAAACACTCATATCATGACAAAAGCCTCTGTGAATCTTTAGGCCTGTATGTATAATTTTGACCATAAATCATAGAAAAAAAATAATATCAAACTTTTACCCCCGGTGTTTGTGTGATCACTTGACTCTGCAATTACACAAATCCTTTTGTAAAGCTGCGTTTGTTTATTGTAACTACCATTAACCACGCTTTTATTTTGGTATGTTTCTCGTTGAGGTAACCATGGTAACAGAGTGCAGCTCTACCTGATAAGGTTAACAAAAAAGAAAGGATAAAAAGAAATTCAATTTTAGCTTCAGTTGATCTGGGAACAGGATCAGTCATGAAATGTTGATAGAAAAATCAGTGATTGATTTATTAATGGAAAGAATGATCTGTGTAGATTATGCATAGCTAATATATGGATTAAACAGTTGTAATCTTCTCAAAATTGACTTTAAAATGAATGACATACATGCTCATCATGATCTGAGTTGCAGGTAATGATGCCAGTAATAAAATCCTGGTAGTTTTCCAGAGACGCTCCTCAAACCTTCAGGGTTGAGTCTGCAGAGAAAAGCCTCACAGGCCGACAACCGCCAGTCAAAAGCAATTAATGCAATAGACCCGGTTTTGCATTCCTAACTGAACGGTTACCACCCACCTCCATCCCATCGCTGACATTTCTCACATACTTCTCATTGTGCCTGGAATAGCTGCTCTTCCTTTCGTGTTTTATGAGTCAGAGAGCGAGAGAGGGAGGGATGGACGGAGGTGGTTTTTAAAAGATGAAAACACACCTGAGCTGTGATGTGGGTAAAAATCTTTGTCAGCCTCAGTTTTTCCGTCTCCATATGGAGAAGAATTGATGGTAACACTTTATTTGAAGGGTGTGCATAAAACTGACCGCACTCTGTCATAATCACACCTGTCTGTGTAAACGTTAAATAATACCACTTTTAATGCAAGAATTAATGCAACTTTGAATTAAAAGTGTCATTATTCACCAAATGACACTTAACTTGTTGCATTTACTCAATTGCAAGAAATACTTTTATGATGATGCTGTACTTTTTACTTTTACTTGAGTAATTTCATGATGAAGTATTTCTGCTCTCACTTGAATAAAATATAATAAAACATTTTTAATCAGAAATCCACCAGACACAGACTTGCAGTGTTTGTTAAAGTGTCATAAGAGTTGGACCCTTTGGAAAACTTTTATTTTGGCTGCATGAGAGAGGATCTATTTAAGTAGCACTTGGAAGCAGCTGGATGTCATTTTGAAATAAATTCACTGCAGGGAAATGAGCGTCTCCATTCAGGAAAGGGTCAAAGTTCAATCGACAGGGTGAATTTGACCCCTTAAACCTTTCAGCTGACATAATTAACACAGTATGAAACGATTTCATGTACTTTAAACTGCCTGTAATGACTCCACAGAGATAAGATGATGCATTTATTGGTTGTGTTAAAGGTTGAAAGCAGCAGCTAGTTGGCCGTAGCTGCTGTTAGCGTGACTTAGCTTCTCCAGTTTAAAAACAAGTCTGGCCTTGTTTCTTATGCATTTTTGAAATGATGTTTATCTGGATTTCACACAACATAGATGCATTTAAAAGCTTATCTCAGGTTAATCTGGATTCATGAAAGTCTTTATTTTTATTTAGAAAATACGTAAGAATGCTTTTAATACGAGAACTGGATATACAGTTGACTCAATTAGGGAATTTATCTAATTTTCTTTGCTTTACTGTAATCTTTAAAAGACCTTTAAGTGCTTGTAATTATGTTGCGGCGACTTGTTGAGTTGATTTTGAGCTTTAGTGATGCTTTTTACCCATTGGCTGTACTTCTCCGCCTCTTTGTGGTCTCTAGTCTTGTTTTCAGACGACTTGGCTGCACATTTCTGCGTTGACATAAGAGCGTTGACAGGAGGTTTTTATTTTTGTCTCCTGCTAATCACAGCTATTATTTATTTCCATACCTTGCTCTCGACACACCCGTAACTGCAACTGGGATTTTCCTCCATAGATGTTAATAGGGCGGTTTAATGGTGCAGAATGAAGTTGGATTTCAGAAAGCCTTCACACCCAGCTTAACCTTCATCCAGGCTAACTATTATTAGCGACACTTGCTGATTACAGTAACATTTGTCTGCCTGTTATAGGCATTCGGACTCGAAACAAACATGAATATGAATGTATATTGAACAGCTCTATTTGTCTGATCTTTACTGAAACCACTGTGTCATAAGATTTGTTGGTCGGCTCCCCCTACAGGCCAGGAGAACTTCTGGTTGACGGAGCGAGTTTGCGACATTTCATAGTTTCATAACTGAGTAGTACTTCATTGTTATAAAGTACTTCACAACTATGAAACTATGAAGTAGCTCATAAATGGCTGCAGACAGATGTGCAATAATCCAACCCTACGTCTTTGAAAAGCATCAGTAAAACCTCCTGCTCAACCAACAAGAATGCAGCAAGTGGTTTCTGAATGCGAAGTCAACAACAAAATGCTTGTCTTCTTTAGATAAGCATACTGCGTACTGACCAAGCGTGCTGGAACTCAAGTTAGGTTGCTAGGTGATGGGAGGAACTCTTCTGGGGTTGCTAGGTGACGGGCGGAACTCTTCTGGGGTTGCTAGGTGACGGGCGGAACTCTTCTGGGGTTGCTAGGTGACGGGCGGAACTCTTCTGGGGTTGCTAGGTAACGGGCGGCTCTTGCTGATTTGTGATGTTACAATCCAGAGGTTTTTGAAACGACAAATTTTCCAGACACCAAAAAACATGAACTTAATGCCAAAAAAACAAGAGGGTGGATCAGTAGAGATCCAAATGGTCATACAAAGATGTAAATTCAGCATTATGTGTCCCCTTTTTAAAAGTAAAAAGAAAGAAGCAGGACAGCCAAACTCAGATCCAACCGGGTGCCTGACTGAGAAACTGTTGAGTCCACGAGGACGTGGATGGCAACCCTTGAGCCGCCGCTGCTGGAGATGTTGAGAATAGCTCACAGAGGAAATGTCACTGCAGCAGCAGTGGCAGCAGCGGCAGCAGCAGCAGCGGCAGCAGTGGCAGCAGCAGCAGCGGCAGCAGCAGCATCATCCCCCCCAACCTGCCAATCAGCTCCTCAGGGGAAGCAGATGGCACGAGCCCAGAGTTATTTAAAGCCTCCAGGAAAGCATCTGTCTCCCTGTGTCACCCAACATGACTAATGCAGACAGAAAGGAAAGCCTGATGATGTTGGGACAATCGCCACTTCACTGATCAAAGCAGTCTTCTGTTTTGAAAGCAGTGGTGTTGGGTTAAAGTTTACAACCTTGATCTGATTCTCTCCAGCCGCTCAGATGTTTGGAGCCGAAACAAACAGACCACCCACACGTTTACCAATACGTGGTTCTGCACTGCTGCTTCCCGGGGCTGTTGAACTTGGCCCGCAGCCTGGTGCGACCCGCAGCCTGGTGCGACCCGCAGCCTGGTGCGACCCGCAGCCTGGTGCGACCCGCAGCCTGGTGCGACCCGCAGCCTGGTGCGACCCGCAGCCTGGTGCGACCCGCAGACGTCGGGCCACTGAAATGCGAATCATCGGCTGCTTGGAGAGTTAAATAACACGCATCATGTGGTGTTTACGTCTTTCTGACTCAGAAAAAGTGTGACACAATCTGTTTCTGTGTGGAACACATCCATGCATTCATCAGAGCCGGACGCCGCAGGTGGAGGCTGCAGGTGGAGGCTGGAGGTGGAGGCTGCAGGTGGAGGCTGGAGGTGGAGGCTGCAGGTGGAGGCTGCAGGTGGAGGCTGGAGGTGGAGGCTGCAGGTGGAGGCTGGAGGTGGAGGCTGCAGGTGGAGGCTGCAGGTGGAGGCTTGCCTGCCTTCACCAGCCTGGATTATGGGGCTGGAACAGGTGGAGCTGCAGGGAGCTCATCTGGTTTCAGACAGCAGGTTTCATCATTGCATTACATTTACCTAAGTAACTTTAATTAGTGTTTCACTATGGTGTACCTTTTACTTTTACTTGAGTAATTGTATTATGAAGTATTTCTACTCTTACTCGAGTAAAATTTCTGGATTTTCTACCCAGTAAATGAAAAACAAGCATGTTTTTTAAAAATTCACCACATTCAGACACACACAGCTGCAGTTTTTGTTAAAGTTTTATAAGTTTTTTATTGAAAGAAACTGATTTGGAAACAATGTGATGAAGATCCCTCCAGACTAGCTTGGTGTCCTTCGCAGCCGGTTGGAGGGGGGATTTTTGTTCTTGTAACAATGGCTGACGAAGCCAGAGTGTAATATAGTTTTAAATCAAAGTATATTAAAATCTGTTACTATAAAAGGTAAAAACTTAAAGCAGCTGTGCCGTCTCAACTGATTCTAAAAACAGCCTTTAAAAAACCACCCAGACGCCTTTTAGTTTGTGGTGATAAGTGATGGCTGGAAAATGAGCTTCCTGAACGTTGAGTCACAACTCTCCGCCATTACCTAGCAACTCCTGCACATTTGGCTTCTGGTTTTACTGCTGTACAATGGCTGCTGGAAAAGACAGGCGTTTTGTTACTGACAAAATGCAACAGAAACCATTTGCTGCATTATTGTTTGTTGTGCAGAGATGTATGGTTGTTTAAATGCTCATCTGGTTGCAACTAATGTCATGTGTGAGTGTAAACGTTGAGTTGGAAACTGGATCAGAAATACGTGGTGATATTTTGTGTTTTTGCTGTGTAAACAGGCTGATTCTCTCAAACCAGGCTGCCAGGTGTATTTTTCTTGCCGTTTTCCAAATGTTACATCAGAGACAGATAATCAGGAAGGTCTCCCGTTTAGACATCTTACACCTGCTTTCCATGAAAGCACTGACGGATATGTCCATGTGAGACTGGGACATTGTCCCTGGTGAGATCCGATCCCTTCACCTGCTTTTGTCTGGATGAGCGTATCGGATACGGGACACCAGGGTTTCCTGTTTCTCGATTGGTTAATTTGCTCCATGTCGGTTCGTTTTTGCACGTTTTTCATAATCGAGGATCAAATAAAGATTGTAACAGTTTCTTGTGATTCTTTAACAGGACGGATTGGACTCAACTTTCACCATCCTGGAGCAGAACACATATTGCCCCTGAACAGTAAGTCCTGTTTGTGTGAGTAAATAACATTTTCTTAAGTTTTAGTTGATTCGTTTTACTGGTTATTCTGAGCTAAAGTTAAACTGAGTAATGTGTAATGCATTTTGGATTCTCGAGCACCTTAAATCAGGGGTGTCCAAAGTACGGCCAGGGGGCCAAATGTGGCCCCTGGAAACATTATGTGTGGCCCTGCTGCCACAATTCAACAATTACACAAGTTTGGCCTGCAGCACAGATTATTAATGCAGATGGAGATTTTTTGTTTTTGTTACAAATAAATTGCCTTCTGTTTTTTCACATCTATTTAGGGACTTATACTCAAAAACACTTTGGTGCATGAAAATCCGCTTTTATTTTATTAAACCCAGTTAAATATATCAAAATATCATACAAAACAGTGACAAGAATCCAGATTTTACAGCTGAGAAGTTTTTATTTTTAGTATATTTTGGATGCCTTTCTTTTAATTTTGGGGGATACGTTGATTGAGTTACACAACAATTTTAACAGAAGTTTTCTTTATTTTAATTATTGTAAACTTAGTTTATTGGTCAGCAGGTAAATTATAGATTTTTTGGCCCATGTGACCAAAGGTTTGGACACGGATCGCGGTGGGAACCACGCTTGACTATGGGAGTAGCTCCTCCAAAAATACCCCACATGTAAAACGAGTTTGCCCCGCTGTGACCCAACCAGAGCCAGGAAGGAAACCCGGCTGGATCCAAACCGCAGCTGTACCCGTCCAGGCCTTGAAGCTGCAGTATGCAACTTTTAGAAAACAAAAATTTTGTTTGTTTTTTTTTTTACTTATTTGTTAAAATTGTCACCATTTTGTGACAGTATATGAGACAAATAATCTGTGAAAAGATCGATTTCCTCCACCTCCTCCCTGAGCAAAAACAGCCTATCAGAGCCAGGAGGCGGGGCTTAGCGGCTAGTTTTCTCATTTTAATTTGATTAATCGCTTATTGCCACATGTTTATTTGGGTTGAAGACTTTCTACTTGAGGTGCACCTATTTTAGTGATGCTCTTGGAAGTGTAAATTTTCCCACCGTGGCCCCTGGGGGAAAACATTTGGGTAACTTTGCTCTGGTTTCTACTTTGGGTTTGTCCTGTCGGGGTTTTGGTTTTCTGGGCCCCATTTTCTCTTTTATCCACTCGAGACCTTCTAAACGTGTCAGGGACAAACTTCAGCTTTTAGAAATTCCTGCTTCATTTCCTCCCGTTAGCGCCGAGGCGTCACACTGTGAGGGGATCTCTGGGGACGGTGCGTTCATTTCTTCCATAGAGAAGAAGAAAGCATGCGAAGGTCCTCCTCTCTGAGGTTTCTTGTTGTTGCGGTTCGACTCTGACTTCAAACCCGCGGCACCCAGGAGGGATCACCCAGATTTCCTCTCCCTCCCAGGCAGCACACAGTTTGAAGTTGGTGCTTATTGCTAACCCCTCTCCCTGGTGGCTTGCATTGTCTCCGCCGCTGAGGCATCTAATGCTTTCCCAGCCCGGAGCGCTCTCCGTTTCTCCCTTGTTGCTAGGCGACTTTTTGTTTTTGCTGAGGCCAGGCGGTGAAAGGGCGATGCTGCAGACAGACTTCCCAGGTTTCTCTAATGAAAGCTTAGCCAGGCAGAAGAGACAATGCAGTCGGTGGTCAAAGCCAAGGCGCTTATTGAGTTCTGAGGAGACAAGTCTGCTATTGTGGCCGATGAGTTAGGGGTACAAGAGGATCTGTTCCCCCTACTGTTTACTGGCATTTAACTTCTTCTGTGCTTTAACGTTCCAACAGCAGGATTTCAGGTATTATTTGTAAAGGTGATCTATTATGTCTTCTTGAACAGGTTAGGATTGCTCTATGGGTGATACACAACATGTTTGTGGACAGAATCACTCTTGGGTGATGAGATTTTAGTTTGGCCAGTTCCGCCTATCAGATGTTTTAGGGACGTTTGTCAAGTTGCATCCAAATAAGCTGCTGCTTTGCATTTTCAACTCTGTGTGAAAATGCAAAGAGATGTGCAGTTATACAACCGTACGTCTTTGAAAGGTCAATAACAGAACATTTTAACTTTTTCTGATTAGGTTCTTCTTGAAAATGAGAGTTTGTTATACTAATGAAATAAAATTAAATGACATCAGACTTGTATAGTGCCTTAGGAAGACAAGCAAACACTCTTTCCATGAAATCAGCCAGTTTCCATTCACTCACATAAAAAAGCTAAATAAATATGAAAGCAAAAATGTAGCACATGCAGCGGTAAAACCAGATGACCAAATGTGCTGGAGTTCCATTTGTGTTGCTAGGTGATGAGCGGAACTCTGCTGGGGTTGCTAGGTAACAGTGCCTGCTGATTTGTGACTGTAGGTTTTTGAAATGGCTAATTTTCCAGACACACTCAAAAATATTAACTTATTAACCATGTTGTGTGTGTGTTTTTTAAAGTGCTTTAGCTGTTTTTAGAAGCGGTAGGAACCCAAATAAAAGTATAAAAATGTGCATAATTAAAAATATTTTAAAAGAATTTAACCATTCTTGTTATGCTTATATTATGTAATGGCTGGTGCAAGTTAATTAATCCTCATTTGATCGATAAGATAATTAGATTAACTCATTACACTACAAAAACACAAAACCTTACCACTTAGTCTCACTTCTACTGGAAATGTCTCAGTGTACCAACTTTAAAGTGACTTATCAGCAAGATGTAGAAGCTTGTTTTCAGTAAATAATTCTTTGATACTGATGAAAAATTTCCATTGATTTCACAAATGTTGCCTAGCAAAGCCAGCGAAGCCCAGTGTCAGATTATTTCACTTAAAACATGGAGAATTTGGCATCTTATCACTACATTTATCTACCAATTGAGCTAGTAAATTTTTATTAATGTTAATGAATTATTTACTTAAAACAGATTCTTCTGAGTTTTGTCTCATTAGATATTTGCAGTAGAAACTAGATTTAAAATACTTGGTAAGATTTTGTGTTTTTAGTATAATTGGTCATTTGAATCCCCAGAGTGAGCTAGAAAACGCAAATTTTAAGTTATTTTTTTATTTAAGTCAAAGCAATGAAATCATCTCGCTTAAGGTCATGATGGGGTCACATTTGGTCTCTGTCCAGTTCAAACTCTCTGCTTGTACCTTGCTATCAGCCGGCCACATTCATACACCGTCGGGAAGTTTCCACTCTCACCTGGCCTGCTCCATCTGACCTGTCAACCTGCTCTTAATATTTCACCAGAGCGACGGTAATGACTAAACCGGCCAGCAGAACGCCTCTTTACGGCCTCATTTGTGAATATTCACAGGAGATTAGCAGGAAGTGCAGCTATTGCAGGTTCATTAAACTCAGATCACAATCACCGGGGCTGTGCAGCCGTGCATCATGCTGCTGCGCCTCTGTTGCCAAGGCAGGTGCAGCAGGTTTACGGAGGACCAATCCTGCCATCTTTAATTCATTTAAAAGTTTAGATTCTATAGAATTTGTTTGAAACTGTTGTAACTATTGAATGACCGAGTCACTTTTGTCACTACCGATATCTATATATGAGGTTAGTGTAAACAGACTAACAGAATGTATACAGGAAAACAGTGCTCAGCTAAAATGTTTCTTTAAAAAAAACCCTGCAGAAATACATGTACTGAATTTCCATTTTATTTGCTACACCTAAATACACCAATAGCCTGACAAGCTATTGGTCAAACATGTAAAAGGAACTTTAATTTGTCCAATAAGTGCAATTAAGAGTGTAACAGCTAATGCAAAATAAATAATAAAGAAACTGAAACTGGAAAAAACAATACCTTGGTCAACCATGTAAAAAATAAACTGCAACAAACCTTTCAAATAGTTCAAAAAGTGCAATTAGGAATTCTAAATATTATGCAAAATAAACATTAAACCAAAGAACTAGACTGAATAGATGTGCCGTTATGGATTGGGCACATTGTCTCTGAGACCCGATTTAGGATTTTTTTTCGACCCGATTTAGGATTTTTTTTCGATATAGGTACCAATACAGATATTAATATCTGATTGGTGCATTTCTACCAGTTATGCAGATGGACATTGATACTCAGTCTTTGGGTCACATTAGCTTGAAGCTTTTGACAAAAAAAAACCCATAATTTTCTATAAAAACATTTTAGAAATACAAAGAAGTATATAACCAAAAATATATCAGTGTTTAAGAAATAAAAAAACAAAACCAGTTAAATAATTTGAAAAGATGTTTTAAGTAAATTTGGTGATAATAAGTATGATCGCTTGAAAGAAGTAAACAAAAGAAAAATATAGCAGTGAAAACTATCAATTTTGATTAAAAATATGCATTAAAGCACAGAAATTTATAAAAAATTATAAAAGTGTAAAAATTGAGACAAATAGGCATTTACACCTAATTATTTTATGAATTGATAAATCTCTTAGTATTTTGTTGTATTCAATGGCACACTAATTTATTTGAAATTATATTAATGAATAATTTCTCTTTCTGTATTATTCCTGAATATGGCAGGATTGGTCCTCCATACATGGCAGAGGAATAGAGCCACTGAAGAAAACTTATTTATTTTATTTTTTCTCAGAATTCTGACTTTTGATCTCAGATTTCAGATTCTTTTCTGAGAATTTTGATGTTTTTCTCAGAATGTATCTTGTTTTAAAAAGAATTTTGAAATTAACTTTTTTCTCCAAATTTTGACTTTTACTCAAATTTCTAAATTTAAACACAGAATTCTGAGTTTAAATTAAAAATTTAAACTTGTTTTCAAAATTGAAATTTTAAAAACAATTCAAAATTTTGACTTGTTTTCTCAATATTGAATTTTCTTTTACAGAGCTGACTTTATTCCCATAATCTGTAGTTTTTCTCAAATTCCTAACTTCAAACTAACTTCAAACTCAAATTTCCGGATATTTTCTAAAAATTGAGATTCTTTTTCTCTAAATTGACTGGTTTTTGCTGAATTTTGACATTTTGTTAGTCATTCATGTCTAATGTTTTTCTCAGAATTTGACTTTTCATCTCACAGGATTTCTGAGAAATTTCTCAGAATTCAGAGAAAAGTCAGAATTTTTTATAATTATTTTGTTCAGTGGCACTAACCCTCCTCCGTATCCTATTCCCTGTGGCTGTAATGATGCTCCGTCCTGTTGCCGAGGTTTAGGCGCGGCCCGCCACTGTTAGCTTAGCGATGTTGCTGGTTTGGTTTAGTTCAACAAAACCCATGTCTCTGTATTTTCTCCCTTCCCTTCCTCCTTCTCTCCCCTCCATGGCGCCGTCAAGCAGGCCGGAGTTATGGCCGCCGACGAGGTAACTTGTTCTGCTTCCCGAGCCGGCCATGTTTGTTTTTTGGGGTTTTTTTTTTTTTTTTTTTGCAAAGAGGCTGATTTGTTTTGGGGTTTCTAATTGTGGTGTCACTTTGTGGCTTTCATCTGTGCTGTGGTTGAATGGATTCATGCAAATTTCGACACTTTGTTTCCATCTTTAATCAGGGAGGGGGTGAAAGGTCATCGGTTCTGCTTGAATGAATCTTGTGTTGGGCGCAGAGTGGGGGGAACGAATCTGCTCTCTTTGAGTCAGCCTTAAATAAAAACAATGCCAAACTAAACTCTTGTAATCTTTTTGTTTGGACTGATTCCAAAAATGTCAGAATAAGAAATGATCTGCAGGGATGGTCCAGTTCGGCTCGTCGGTTGTTTGCTGTGCTTTTTGTGTTTCTTCATTAAGAAGGAAAGCTGCTGCTGCTGCTTCTGCTGCTGCTGCTGCTGCTGCTGCTTCTGCTGCTGCTGCTGCTGCTGCTGCTGCTTCTGCTGCTGCTGCTGCTTCTGCTGCTGCTGCTGCTTCTGCTGCTGCTTCTGCTGCTGCTGCTGCTGCTGCTTCTGCTGCTGCTGCTGCTTCTGCTGCTGCTTCTGCTGCTGCTGCTTCTGCTGCTTCTGCTGCTGCTGCTGCTTCTGCTGCTGCTGCTTCTGCTGCTTCTGCTGCTGCTGCTGCTTCTGCTGCTGCTGCTGCTGCTTCTGCTGCTGCTGCTTCTGCTGCTGCTGCTGCTGCTGCTGCTGCTGCTGCTGCTGCTGCTTCTGCTGCTGCTGCTTCTGCTGCTGCTGCTGCTTCTGCTGCTGCTGCTGCTTCTGCTGCTGCTGCTGCTGCTTCTGCTGCTGCTTCTGCTGCTGCTGCTTCTGCTGCTGCTGCTGCTGCTTCTGCTGCTGCTGCTGCTGCTGCTGCTTCTGCTGCTGCTGCTGCTGCTGCTGCTTCTGCTGCATGACGCAACATTTCCATCCTGCAGGGATTTGAGCTTTGCACCAAATAATGTCTGGCTTCAGTTGCTCTCCACAAAAAGCCCTTATGTGAAGCACAATGAAACATTTTAAACGTACAATTGATGACAATAAAGTCTAAAACCATTTTAGGGCTGGGCGATAGGATTTTAAAAATAAAATTTGTTTAATCTGTTTTCGTCTTGCTGCAGGTTTTTATTTCAGTCATCCCTTCTATGAGGTTTATGGCAGAGTATTGGACTACAAAACCTTTTATTTAATTTGGAGAATAAAGTCAAAATATTAACAGATTAAAGATGCCATTTAAAAAATTAGTAGGTATTTTTTTCATTGAGGAAAAAAAATCTTCAATAATAAATTTTTTATTTTTAGGTTTGAAGTTCTGATAAAATTACTGCTTTATTCTCTTAATATTATAAATTTACTCCATTTCCCCTTCAAATCTGTGTTTCACTGGTGCTAAGATTATAAAATGTAACAACAAGTGTCAATACTACAAAGCCACAGTGACCGCAATAAAAATATAACATTTTACCTGGATGTTGATTTATTTTTATATATTCTTAACTTTTTTATTCATTCATAGCGTTTCTTTATTTTTTGTGGTAATTTTTATGGAAAGAAACGCAGCTTAATGATCTGATGAAGAAATGAAGTTGTCGTTCAGGCAGTAAAAACTTCACGCTCTCTTTGCCTCCCCACTCCTCCTCTGTCCATCTTTTCTGCTGCTCTTGTCACTTTTCCGCCTCCGTCCAGGTCGTTCCTGTCTTTTCCCCTTCGAGGATGGTTTCCTTGATGACGGCCACGGCGACCCCTCCCTGACCCCGGGCCTGAACTCACCGACCCGCTGTCAGAACGGCGAGAGGATGGAGCGCTACTCCAGGAAAGTGTTCGTCGGAGGTCTTCCTCCCGACATAGACGAAGGTAAACGAGATTATTTTTTATTTTCATTTTTTGCATCAAGTTTCACCCTGTTGCATATTCTGCTCATTTTTCCCAGTTGGAAACTTCCCAGAACACGCTGTAGTTTGACTTTTTGCCTGTTACAGTCACGCTGACATTTATCAACTCCATTTAGGGACACATTGACACTACACTGCAAAAAATACCCTCCGAAAACAAGTTAAAAATACAACAAAAACAAAACATTTTTACATGTAACCAGCACATTTGATAAATATTCAAGAATTATGACCTAAAAATAGTTTATTTTATCTTTTTTCAAGTGTGCTAAGATAAATGCACTAAAAACTAGGATGTTGTGTTTTTGCAGTGTACACACACCAGTAGCATTAGTTTTCTACATAAGAGCCACATCTCAAATTGGTTCTGTTTTTATAATCGATATGGATGATGGTACCTGAATGTGTACAATCGGCACTAAATAACTTTTCAACAAAATATAGGAGTTTAAGTAAATAATTCCTTATAATTGATGAAAAATAACTTCATCTGTCAGCAGATGAATTTACATCTCATGTGAGAAAAAAGTTTTGCTACAAGTGAAACAATCTGCCAGTGGAACTAGAACTTTTTCTTCAATATTTAGGAATTATTTGCTTCAAACCGGCTGAAAAGTTAGTTTTGTTTTATTTCAAGTGTATTTAGATATTTGCAATAGAAACGATTTTAAAATACTTTGTCAGTTTTTGCAGTTTGTCGCCTTCCATCCTGAGCTGTTTGGCTTAAGAGGCCCGTTTGCTTTCGTATGTTTAAGAGCGTGCTCTGCGGAGTAAAGGCACATTACGTGCTCTATGGCTTTTCGCACAGCCCAATTCGGCCCATTTCATGTTTAGTGCAGTGGCTGCTTGCCTCCAGAACCGAGGAAAAACGAAAAACAACCCTCTCAATGTGCCGTTTCGCTCCACATCGAGTTCTTGTTTTCAAGCCGTTTCACATTTCCGTCTTTGTTTTTTCCCCGCAGATGAAATCACCAACAGTTTCCGCCGCTACGGGCACCTGGTGGTGGATTGGCCCCACAAAGCTGAAAGCAAATCCTACTTCCCACCTAAAGGTAACAGCAGGTGGTCCCGCCGTTCGCTCACCATGGAGATGTGTATCAATAAATATCGCTGTGGGTGAATCGTTTGCAGAGGCTCGTTTTGCTCGGCTGTTTGCCGCTCAAGCTGGACAGCGATGCAGGTCTCACTCCTGCAGGATTTAACTATCCAGCTGGAGTCTGGATTCAGGATCCGTTTCCTGAGAAGCTGAGAAATATTTTTTGTCTTTTACGTTCAAATTGTTTGTTTGTTGCTATGAAGGAGATCTGTGCTCGTTGTAGATTGGGGGAAAAAAAGGAGCAAATATCCGCCAAAAAGACGCAAAAAAGTTTAGATCTGATAAATTTTCCATGAAAACATTTAAAAAGTCAAAAATGTGCTTAAAAGGAGGGAACTTATTCCTCCTTTTTTGTGATTGTCAGATTCTCTAGAAAAATAAATAGCTTCCAGTTTAAGATTTTTGACATTTGGAAATTTTCTCAGTTTCAAAAGTGGAAAATGTTTGACCTGTTGAACTCAGAAATTTCTGTGATTTTCTATAAAATTTGTAAAATCTCAAAATTTCTGAATTTTTGGGGAAATTTTGTAAACTCAGACATTTCCACATTTTTCTTTTTTTTTGAAAATTTGTTAAATTAATCTCAAAACTTCTGGACTTTCTTCTAGGAAATTTTCAACCTTTCAAATTTGGAAACTTCCATCTTTTTTCCAGAAAATTTCTCAGATTATAATTTCAATTTTTTTTCTAGCAATGTTTTGACTTTTGGAGCTCATAATTTCAAAGATTTTTTTGTGGAAAGTTTCTGAGACTAGCCTCAGAATTTCTGATTTTTTTATTTTGTTTGTTTCGTCATAAATGTTCAACTTTTGGATGTCAGAAATTTCTGTTTTCTAGAAAAGTCCAGAGATGCATCTAAACGTTTCTGAGCGTTTTGGTTGAAATTTGCCCATTTTGTTCTATTTGGGGCGTCATTATTAGAGCTCTTTAAGCTTCTGTGTTTCTCCGTTTTGCTGTTGGCTGCAGTTGGTCTCATATTATGAATCTACTCTGGAAACAATTGGCATTCCATCGGCAGATGGTAATAACGCTGTGAGGACCTGTGAATATCTCTGCCAGTTTTTTCTCTCCCCACAATTTTTACCTCCTTTCTTTTTTATTTTCAGAGGGATTATTTTGAATCGCCTCTTGTAATCCAAGGGGGGGAATGTGGCATCCTTTTAGGGGAATGAATGAGCTTATGGCAGCTGGAGGACGCCGCCATGTAAGGGAGGAGGCGGATGCATGGCTGCGCTCGTCTGTGCAGTGTTCATCTCTCTCTTCTGAAACTTCCCGTTTAGCGTCTCGCTCTCCGTTTTATCCGGACAGCCATCTTGGAAAGGTGACAGAAGCCTCGCAGCTCAAGGCTTTGGGATTTAGAGCAAAGTGCGTCCAACGCCTGTGGGACTGAGAAAAACGTAGCTGTGAAAACATGTCTGACCCTTTAACTGGTTTCATCTGGTTTCCCCATGTTGTGACAAACGAAGCAGTTTTTGAATAATGATTGCTTTTCCAAAGCAGTCATTATAGTCCATCCAAATCGATTTGTTTAAACTGCCGTCCAGCATTGGATCCAACAGAGTCGTTTACGTCGCAATAGAGGAATCTTGGCTCTCTAGTCAGAGTTGGATCCGACTTTGATTAGGCCACTCTTTTGTTTAATCTTTATCTTAAGGCTTTAACAAAAAATCAAATGCAGCTGAAAATTCTGTGAACAAAAAATAGATACAATAAGTGGGAATTCCACAAAAAGCAAAAAACAACTGCAAACCCCCGACCACTAGGGGGAGCAATACTGCCTATCTGAACATGTTGGTGTTCCATCATGTAAAACACTGAATGCTTGAAAAAATAAAACGTGAAGTGTAACGTTCTTTTTCTTCCTGTATGTTCCGTTAAATCTTGACAGAGTCCCATTTGATTTGGTGGTGGACACCCCCTAGTGGCCTGGAGGACTTTAGTTTGTCTGTTGCATTTGTTTTTTTGTATTGTTCATACATTTGGAGCTTGTTTTGTTGAATGCGTGAGGCTGCTGATAGTTTTACTCCATATGTACGTCTTGGAATATTTCACTAAGATGTGTTGTGGAAACTGTGAGATGGGACTTCATGTTCTTTTGGTTAGAGGTGGTTTTGTCTCTCAGACTGATGATTTCTTTTCCTATTATTGTTGCATCGTGAATGCTGGTCCTAACTGGAGTTCTTTAGCTGTTGTGATGGGTTACTGATTTCTTTTTGTCTGCCGTTCCTTAAACGGTTCATCACTGTTTCACGTTTTGTCCATTTCTGGATAATGGCGCCTGCTGTGGTTCGCTGAAGCTCTTAGAAATGGCTTGGTAACCCTTTCCAGATGGGTCAGTGCATTACCTCTGCAGTCTGGGTTGGGTCAACATAACAAACACAATTTGACATGTCAAAGCAAAGAAAGGAGCTCAGGTTTGATTCGACCAACATTTTATTTTTTTTGCTCGGTTGTTTATACTACTAGTTAAATTTGACTGCAATCGAACTTCGCTGTGCGATGCGCAGAAGAAGAAGATGTGTTTATGGATGTAATAATAGCGCCACCTATGGATTTTTAATGCATTTCTGTCCACCTTATGATGGAGAAATATTGTTTGATTAAGATTTGAGGGTCTGGCAGTAATCAGGCAAGTGTGGTTCATGACAAAAAAAAACTGGATAATCACTACAGAAGAGGATTAGAGCCAATAAAAAAAATTATAATTTTGACATCAAACTTTCTAATTTTGTGTGAATTTGTCAAAATCACATAAATGGTCAAACATGCAACAATTATGTTGTTAATGTATCTCCATAAACTTTATAGGATTTATAAATGTAAACTTTATCCAATGTTAAGACTAGATTTGCCTCGTGGCGCAAAAACATGCTAATCAATTTTGGTTCTGAGGGGGGGCAAAAAAATTTTAAGAAGAAAAATTCATTACGAGGAAAAAAAATCTAAATTTTTGGAAACATGAGAATTCTGAGTAAAAGTAAATTATGAGAAAAAGTCAGAATTTTCTGAAAAAAACAACAACTCTGAATTCTGACTTTTTGTGTGTGTGTGTGTGGCCGTAATGTTCTCCCGTAAATTTCCATATTAAGATGGAAATTACTTTTCCACATAGGAAGAGGATTATTTGTCTTTTTCCTTTTAAATTATTTCTGCAAAAACAATACCTAAAATAAAAAATTTCTACTCTTTGCCCAAAGATGATTTAGGCAAATAAAATGACTGCAACATTTAAGTGTGACACGAAGAGAAAACAGAGGAACGGTTTTGCTCTGCCAGTGATCTGCAGAATGTGGGACATGCGTCCAGAGCCTGCAGAGCGTCCGTCCAGGCTTCACCGAATGGAAGATAACTGTCACTTTCCACCCTGCTCCTCGTTAAACTGCCAGCAGCGTGCGCCTGTGCCGTTATGAAAGTGTTTTTTGTTCAGCAGTGACTCATACTGTGGCTCAGTCTGGATTCGGGGGCCGGGCCTGGACAGCTTTGGTGCTCGGGATGAAGGTCAGGCAGAGACGGAAAGTTGATGCCAAGGCAGGATTGTTTCCCCCTCAGCTTCTTCTTTCTGCTAATATTGTCACACCCTTCAGTAATGGATCAAAAGATGTAAAAAGTGTTGCTCTGATGTAAATCCATTTAATATGGAGCTAATTATATGTAAGAAAAGATTGTTTTGATGGTTGAACAGGAGATGAATGTTCTGTCGTTTTGTTCAGATAAAATGCAGGAAGTTTAAATGGAGCTCAAAATGTCTGCAGGCTCGTGTTGTTGGCTCCGCCTCCCGTTCCCTGACATCCATCACTTCTGTTTACAGACACAACAAGCTGCCCTGGGGGATTACAAAAAGCAACTTTAGAGGACGACTGTTTGCTGGAAGCAACAACAAATTTAGCTGCTGTTTGGAGCAACAAGTAGCTCTTAAAAATACAGCCGGATGAAACTGAAAATGAGAGGAAACATCGAGTTTCATTTGCAGGTCAAGACCGTGACTCCAAACCAAACTAATAATGAGCCGTTTAGTTTATTAATGTTGATTCATCCTACTTTATATGTACCGTAGAATTCATGGCTGCTAATTACATGATTAGTTGTGCTAACCCAAAAGCAGTAATCATATTTGCTCCACTAATGCTAATGTGCTAAGCCAAAATAGTGTTTAGCAAAAGCTAACGCTAAATAAATTGCTAACACCCTCATTTTAACCATGTTGATACCCACAATGCATCAAAAACAGTAGAAAACATGACAGAACAGGAAACAGAACTGCTGCGTAAACAATTTTAAACCGCTTCAAAATAAGAGCATGAACATTTAGCTACCAAAAGAATTAGCGGTTTATTCAGCTGAAAGATTACTAAACTGTCACGTAAATTAGTTTTAGAAGTTTATCTGGAAAAATAAACGTCCAGATAAACTTCATCAGTGCCTCAATCTAGAATAGAGACAGAAAGATAAAGTGGCATTAGACCACCAGGCAAATGGGAGCAATGGGTTGTTCCCATTTTTATCTTAGTTTGAAGTAGTTTTGGATTAGATTTATTTTGGCAAAACTGCAAAAAAACAAATAAAACAAAAAACACTTCGTATCACATGAGTCACAATCAACAGCTCACTGTTACTACTGGCAGAAATGACAAACGAGAAGTAGTCGGAGGACAATGGTTTGTCTTTGTTTTATTTGTTGTTCATTCCAACGCGATGAATCTAAAGCTCTTCTGTACATGTTGTCGATCCGAAGCGTAACGTCTTTCGCTCCGACGCCTGAATAAGACGACGGCTGAATTACCTCTGATAGCTGAATTACAAAAACATCTCATGCGACTGACATCCATCGCTACTGTGAACAAGCTTATTCACATGATTTTAATTTAATTCTAAATTTAATGTAAAGTTTGCAATTGTGAAATTGTGGGTTCCTCTCTGATGTTGGCAGAATATAAACAAAAATTAGAAATGGAAACA